GACCCAGTTGGCAACGGGCTTTGTTGCTTGGATACGTTCCTGGGTTAGTGGTTCTGTTGTGTGGTGTGTGGTTGCTGGTGAGTATTTGCTTCAGGTTGGGGGGCTGTCTGTAAGCAAGGGCTGCCTGTCTCCCAAGATCTGTGAGAGTGATAGGTCGTCCTTCAGGATAGATTGTAGATCCTTGATGATGCATTGGAGAGATTTTAGTTGGGGGCTGAAGGTGATGGCTAGTGGCGTTCTGTTATTTTCTTTGTTGGGCCTGTCCTGTAGTAGGTGGCTTCTGGGTACTCTTCTGGCTCTGTCAATCTGTTTCTTCACTTCAGCAGGTGGGTATTGTAGTTGTAAGAATGCTTGATAGAGATCTTGTAGGTGTTTGTCTCTGTCTGAGAGGTTGGAGCAAATGCGATTGTATCGTAGAGCTTGGCTGTAGACAATGGATTGTGTGGTGTGATCTGGGTGAAAGCTGGAGGCATGTAGGTAGGAATAGCGGTCAGTAGGTTTCCAGTATAGGGTGGTGGTTGTGTGACCATCGCTTATTAGCACCGTAGTGTCCAGGAAGTGGATCTCTTGTGTGGACTGGTCCAGGCTGAGGTTGATGGTGGGACAGAAATTGTTGAAATCATGGTGGAATTCCTCAAGGGCTTCTTTTCCATGGGTCCAGATGATGAAGATGTCATCAATATAATGCAAATAGAGTAGGGGCATTAGGGAACGAGAGCTGAGGAAGCGTTGTTCTAAGTCAGTCATAAAAATGTTGGCATACTGTGGGGCCATGCGGGTACCCATAGCAGTGCCACTGATTTGAAGGTATACATTGTCCCTAAATGTGAAATAGTTATGGGTGAGGACAAAGTCACAAAGTTTAGCCACCAGGTTAGCCGTGACATTATCGGGGATAGTGTTCCTGACGGCTTGTAGTCCATCTTTGTGTAGAACGTTGGTGTAGAGGGCTTCTACATCCATAGTGGCCAGGATGGTGTCTTCAGGAAGATCACCGATGGATTGTAGTTTCCTCAGGAAGTCTCGAAGATAGCAGGGAGTGCTGGTAGCGTAGGGCCTGAGGAGGGAGTCTACATAGCCAGATAATCCTGCTGTCAGGGTGCCAATGCCTGAGATGATGGGGCATCCAGGATTTCCAGGTTTATGGATCTTGGGTAGCAGATAGAATACCCCAGGTCGGGGTTCCAGGTGTGTGTCTGAGCAGATTTGTTCTTGTGCTTTTTCAGGGAGTTTCTTGAGCAAATGGTGTAGTTTCTTTTGGTAACTCTCAGTGGGATCAGAGGATAATGGCTTGTAGAAAGTGGTGTTGGAGAGCTGCCTAGCAGCCTCTTGTTCATATTCCGACCTATTCATGATGACGACAGCACCTCCTTTGTCAGCCTTTTTGATTATGATGTCAGAGTTGTTTCTGAGGCTGTGGATGGCATTGTGTTCTGCACGGCTGAGGTTATGGGGCAAGCGATGCTGCTTTTCCACAATTTCAGCCCGTGCACGTCAGCGGAAGCATTCTATGTAGAAGTCCAGTCTGTTGTTTCGACCTTCAGGGGGAGTCCACCCAGAATCCTTCTTTTTGTAGTGTTGGTAGGAAGGTCTCTGTGGATTAGTATGTTGTTCAGAGGTGTGTTGGAAATATTCCTTGAGTCGGAGACATCGAAAATAGGATTCTAGGTCACCACAGAACTGTATCATGTTCGTGGGGGTGGAGGTGCAGAAGGAGAGGCCCCGAGGTAGGACAGATTCTTCTGCTGGGCTAAAACTATTTCCCCATGTTTATTACACGCACGCACGCACGCACACACACACACACACACACTGTTCCTCAGACGTTCTTGTCAACTGCTGGAAATGGCCCACCTTGATTATCACTACAAAAGGTTTTCTTCCTCCCCTGCCCTCCTGCTGGTATTAGCTCATCTTAAGTGATCACTCTCCTTACAGTGTGTATGATAACACCCATTGTTTCATGTTCTCTGTGTATATAAATCTCCCCACTGTATTTTCCACTGAATGCATCCGATGAAGTGAGCTGTAGCTCACAAAAGCTTATGCTCAAATAAATTTGTTAGTCTCCAAGGTGCCACAAGTACTCCTTTTCTTTCTGGGTAAAAGGACACCAGTGGTGTAATTAGGTGCTAACAGTTTCAGATCCAGCTGGGAGAGAATTCTCCATGCACAAGAATTGTGGAAGAAACCTGATGTCAGAGGCAAGCTGGGGATGGGGCTTGTGGCAGGAAGAGTGTTCCAAGAGCAGAGCAGCAGCACCTAGCACTGCAGAGATTCTGGGCAGTGCTGCTGCTCTTAGGCAGGCATGAAAAGGCTGTTGTAAATTAGATAGCCTTCAGGGGCTGTCTAAATTATGCAGCCCCTGGAGCAGCCCAGAATCAGATGTGGTTTAAAACTATCTTAGCCCTCTCTCCATCTGTGAGTTCTATTCTGCACCTCTTAGAGCAGGGGTGGCCAACCTGAGCCTGAGAAGGAGCCAGAATTTACCAATGACCATTGCCAAAGAGCCACAGTAATATGTCAGCAGCCCCCCATCCACTCCCCAGCCCCTTCCAGCAGCCCCCACTAATCAATGCCTACTCCCCCCACCCACCACAATCAGCTGTTTCATGTGTATAGGAGGCTATGAGGGGGAAGGAGCGAGGGCATGGCAGGCTCAGGGAAAGGGGCAGGGGCCTTCGGGGAAGGGATGGAGTGGGGGCAGGACTTGGGGCAGAGCAGGGGGTTGAGCAGTGAGCACCCCCCAGCACACTGGAAGTTAGCATCTATAACTCCAGCCCCGGAATCAGTACCTAGGTAAGGAGCCACATATTAACCCCTGAAGAGCCGCATGCAGCTCCGGAGCCACAGATTGGCCACTAGAAGCATAGCACAGCATTTCACCTTCTGTGTATAGCCTGTTTTGAAAATATATTTACTTGAGTGTGTTTATTTGAAATACAGAATTTATTTGAAATACAGAACTGTTTCTGCCTCTTGAGTAAATTAGGTCTTCTCTACAAAATGCATTAGCCTGCACCAGAGGGGTGTAGATTCTTGTGCACACTAATGTGTCATGCACTAACTTACCCATGTGGGACCCGACTGGCGCACACTAAAAGTTCCCTAGTGCATGTTAATGTAGTACTGTTTGAAATGGGACTACATTAACATGCACAGGGAACTTTTACTGTATGCCAGAATGGGTCCACATGGACCAGTTAGCGCACAACGTGCTAGTATGCATTGGAGTTTATACATCTCTGTTGTGGACTAATGCACTGCATAGACAAGCCCTTAGATGCAGTTTTAAAACATTGGCAATATGTAGGAAAAAAATTTGCACCTCATTGACTTACTTTCTCCTTATTAATTTATTTAAAGAAAGAAACTTAAATGTAAAAATACATTTGAATAATGCTGAAAATGTGACACAGGCCAATAACAAAGCTAGTTGCCTGGCTTTCTTTCTTTCTTTCTTTCTTTCTTTCTTTCTTTCTTTCTTTCTTTCTTTCTTTCTTTCTTTCTTTCTTTCACAATTGGATTTAGGGCAAAGCTATAACTTTGGATTTCCTGAATTTTGCTGGTTTCTGTCAACCCTAATATTACTTAAACACAGTCTTTCATTAATAATATAGTATGTTAATATATTTCAAATTAAGAAAACAGTGGAACTCGACTTTGTTGTGCTTGATTAAATTGGGCATCAGAAAGATTGAAAAGCAAGAGAACAATCTTATTCTTGTTCTTGCTTTTACTGTGTTTGCTGTTCTCATGACCCAGAATGAGGAATTGAGAATATTGTGTCTGTATAGGCTCAGGAAAATATAGTGATGTATATAACCCCTACGTGTTTTCATAAATTGTTTTGAATTCAACAAATTTTCAGTTAATTTCACATGTTTGGTTTGTGTCTTGAAATATATCAGTAGGACATTTTAATACAGATTTCTTTCTTTGGGGGAAGCTAGGAGTCTCAAACGTTACGCGAAGCTCTCATCACTCTGGTAATGACTATAAACACATAAATCGTTCAAGACCAAAAGAAGAATGGAACTCAATGTCAGTGAACAGATCACATTTATTATTTTATGATTAAAAGTATTTCTACAATGACAAAAATCAACCCCTCGGGAATCATACTGTAAAAAGGAACAGTTGGTTTAATTTAGGTTTCCATGTGAAATATATCTATTTTTTGTGGATGTTGTGGAAAAGTAAACTGAAAATTTTCAGAGTAGTAAATTTCTGTGCCTGATCAGATTTTAAGTATGTACAGAATCATATAGTTAGTTGATTTCTGATGCTGACATTAATTACCAAACAGAACTTGACAATAAAGTCAAATTTGGAAAGTGATATTTTCTGCTTCGTTTCTTAATATAACAAATAGCTATAGTAGCTAGTTATTAAATGTATTTAGAGTATATTGCAGTGAACAAATTTGTACATCAAAAAAAAATATATACAAATGTCAGCTCAATCAACTCAAGCAAAAAATATTCTCTAATTTATAAACTGCTGCTTCTGACCTGTTTCCCAAATTGAACAAAATGGGTTATCTTATCTAAGGCTAAAATTTTCAAAGCCATATAGGAGATTTGGGTGCCAGTTCCCATTGATTTTAATGGGAATTGGTCTTGCAAATCCTTTAGGCAGCTTTGAAAATCTTGGCCCTAGTCTACAATACAATGTCTGTTATTGTTCAGCATTTTTGGTTTAAAATAAATAACTTTAAAAAGCATTTTGAGATTCAAATACTTTGCATATATGTGTGTGTGTGATATGTGTATACACAAAGTATATATATCATATGCGGTGAATGTTTTTGTGTGATTTTATTGTGTGTGTGTGTATATTTATATATAAATAAAAAATTTGGTGAAATATCTTATTTTCCCCCCAAAAGAGACAATTTAAGATTAAAATATAGTAATTCTGTTGCATTAAATATGTCTGAATGTTCCAAATAACATAGCCATGGCTGATTTCTTGTACTGTACATTTTGTTTTATTAGGTGAGCTCTTGGGTTACATGGTTGATCCTTACTGCCGGTTCTATGGAGGAGAAACGAGAAGTCTTCTCATATTTAGTACATGTGGCAAAATGCTGCTGGAACATGGGAAACTACAATGCTGTAATGGAATTCTTGGCAGGGCTTAGGTACTGGCAACTCATTTTTACATAAGGAAGTTTCAGAGATAGAGATTAAATTACAGCTTCTGTTAAACCCAACTCCTCTCTGAAGAACAATGTGGGACATTGAATCAATCACTCTGTTAAGCAGTATTCTGTTGCTAAATCACATCATTTCATCTTTTGAATTTCTCATAATTATTGGGGGAAAACTAAACATGGTGAAAGACAGACATTTTCTCAGAATGCTCTGGAGACATCATCATCTATCCTGGTACATGCTAAATATGTTAAATTGAAAACATGGACATACATTTTTCAAACAGCTGATTTAAATGAGAAAAGAAAAGTGTAAAAGTAGTTTTATTATAACTATCTGTAACTCACTACAACTACTATAGTTTTAGGGTTGGAGTTTCAATAACAAAAGTAGTGAAACTATAAATGTTAAAGTAATATTATGATTATAGGTCAAAAAAGAAATGTCAAATAAAGCTCCTTCCTTAGCTCACTCCATTTTACCTACGCTAACTGCTGCTAGGTTCTCAGAACAGTAAGTGATTTTACATAGAGTATACAGTATAATGAATTATTCTGTAGTAGGAAGAGTTAAGTCTAAAGTTGCAGCCTCTTAACTCTGACTTTCTTTGTATTTTGAATGTGTGTTTTTACTGCAGCTTTTTGTGGTTTAATAAGCACACTCATTGTGCTGTTAGTTTACATTTTTAATATATGAAACAGATTCAAAGCACTCACAAACACAAGAAGCCTTGTCCTGCAGAACATATCCACGGCCTCCCAGGCCATGTAAGCCCAAGAAGGCTGTGAATGGTTGTTCTACAACAAGCCAGCTGATTCAGGGAGAAGTCAAAACTGTAATAAGAGTTTAATTATGCCTCTCTTATAAGTACACTGCATGAGGGAAGGGGAGGAAAGGAAGGGTAGTGCCAGAGCTTTATGCAGTGGACAAGGAGATAGTGGAGAGAGGGATATCTTGTAATTAGCTGTTCTGTAGCACCGCTGGTGTGCTGGGTGAGGAGGGGTGGAATTGCCATGGCTCTGCCCAAACATGCTCCTCTGGGAATGAGGGAGCTTCTAGCAGTGCAAATGTATTCTCTCGTGCAGTCCTAAAACCATTTTTTGTTTGGATATAAACATTCCTTTGAGCATCTACAACACAAACATGGCTGCAACATGCTAGAGCGTGAGAGCTGGAAAGCTGAAACTAACAAGAAACAAAAGTGAAATTGTTTATTTTATAGTTTATTTTCATTGTCCAATCTGACGGAAATGCAAAAAATATACTAATCAACATTAATGATTTAAAATCATTTTTGAAAATTATTTCACTCTCACTTATCTAAGGATTACTAATAATACAGCAGCTTATGTTATGTACGGATAGGTTTATCATGACATTGTTCCTTTAACTATGTTTGATTTCCTCCCACTACTCTTTATTTTTAAGATAGTATAACAAGATAAATGTAAAAGATTCCTCTTTTCCTTCCCAAGCTGTTGTGCCTAACTCTCTTAGGCTCTGTTGAAAATCCCAGCTGTAGCTCCAGCAATTTCTAGATCTCATTACTCAGCTTTGCAAGTTCATTTTGGTGTTCAGTTATTCAAAAGGAAAAAATTGTTCTGTTAGCCTGAGCTAACTGAATTTGTCTCATTCATTTACAGGGGTTGGCAACGTGTCCGTACATGGACACAAGTGTCTATGGTAAAAATTTTGAGGTCCATGGGAGTGCTCACCTGGGGCGGCTCCCCGCAAGTGGCTCCCTGTCACTGCTGTTGCTGGCAGACGCCAGGTGGCTCTGCAGGCACACTGCCTCTGTCCCCTCTACCCAAATGCTGACTCCACGGCTCCCAGCCTATTGGCCGGGAACCACGGTCGATGGGAGCTGGGGGGGCGGTGCCTGCAGACTGATGCAGCATGCCTGCAGAGCTGCCTGGCCGCGCTCGCCTCCGCCAGCAACAGCAAGGACAGGGAGCCACTTGCGGGGTGGGCAGTGAGCCTCCCCGCAAGCAGCTCCCTATCCTGCTGTTGCTGGTGGAGGCGTGGCCAGGCAGCTCTGCACACTGCCTCTGTCCCCCACCTCCCAGCGCTGACTCCGCGCTCCCAGCCCATTGGCTGGGAACCACGGCCAATGGGAGCTCTGGGGGCAGCACCTGCAGACAGGGCAGTGTGCAGAGCCGCCTGGCTGCACCTCCGCATAGGAGCCAGAAAGGCGACATGCCGCTGCTTCAGGGAGCTGCTTGAGGTAAGCGCTGCATGGAGCTTGCACACGCCCAGGCCCCGCCCCCCTGGCCCAGCCCTTATTCCCCCTCCTACCCTCCGAACAGCTTGGACTCAGCCCGGAGCATCCTCCTACACCTCAAACACCTCACCCCCAGTCGCAACCCAGAGCCTGCACCCCCAGGTGGAGCCATCATACCCCCACACACACCCAACCCCCTGCTCCAGCCCAGAGCCCCCTCCTGAACCCCTCATTTCTGGCCCCACCCTGGAACCCTCACCCCCAGCCCAGAGCCCATACCACTTCCCACACCCCAACCCCATGCCTCAGCCCAGAGCCACTTTCCACCCCCCGCCAATGTCTGTCCCTAAGTCCAGTAATTTTGTCAAGTGTCTGTCGCGCAACATGGTGGTGCTGACCCCTGTTTCTGAGTAATGCTAATGAAAGTAAGACTAATTTTCTTTAATAGAAGAGATCGACTTCTGGTGTTGAACTTTAATGTAAACTATGTTTTTTTTATTTTCTTACAAATGTTTTGTTGTCTATTTGCAATAGGTCTAGAAAAGTTTTAAAAATGTGGCAGTTCATGGATCAGTCTGATATTGAAACCATGCGAGGTCTGAAGGATGCTATGGCACAACATGAATCATCCTCTGAATATCGGAAAGTGGTAAATCGTGCTCTGAATATTCCAGGCTGTAAAGTAGTTCCTTTCTGTGGTGTATTTTTAAAGGAGCTTTGTGAAGTTCTAGATGGAGCAGCAAGCCTCATCAGACTTTGCCCACAGTATAATTCCCAGGATGAAACATTAGAGGTAAATTATTAAGAGATGGCATTGATGTTCTAAATGGTTACATGCCCATACCTGTATACAGTGAAAATGGCTCCCTACCAAATTGTAGATGATAGTGAAATTGTTATTTGACAGTTACTGAAGGTAACAATTGCTTGAACCCCCTTTGTTCAATGCAGTTGATGAAACTTTTTGTGACCTTCTCTAAACCAAAATGTAATCTATGGTATCAAATAGAAGGATATCAATCCAGTTATACAATAACAACTCGTATTAATTTTTTAAAATTAATTTAAAGTGGATTGTTTATATATAGGAATGACAAATATATTGCAACTACAGTTGCAATCAGCAATGAATGTTTATGCCAAAAAACCTCATTCTGGAAGGTGCTAAGCACTTTCTTTGAAAGATAGTGCTCTTAACTTCCACTTAATTCAATGGGAATAGAGGTAAAGAAGAGTTCAGAACCTCAGTGTTTCAGGCCCTTAATATACAAAAAGAAGCAAGTCTTCGAGTATGTGTCAGTGTGGATCCTGAGGTAGGTGCTCAGGCAGGCGAACCTGGAATCTTTTGAATAGCAACATCCAGCAGGGCCATGGATGCAGACCTGTGCTACTTTGTGCTCTTGTGCAAAGACATAAAGGGTGGAGAGGCCCTGACGTTCTCTCAGTTCCTTCTTAATGTCTGTGGTAGGGAGACAGACCGGGAATTTGTCTGACCTGCTTCTGGTTTCAGAACCCTTTTCCAGTGAAGAAACCCTTCTGCACTTCTCCTTTTAATTAGATCCTTCATCTTAGACTTTTTTGTTGGGTATTCATGAAAAAAAGAGAGAGCAAGCAGTTAGGATAGACATGGGGGACACCCCCCTGTACAGCAGAGTGAGGTGCTTTGTGCTAATCTCTAGCTATGGCAGGCTCAAAACCCACTAAGTTTAATGTGTGTCCTTCCTGTTACAGTTTCATGCCTCTCATAGATGAACAAAGCAGATTCATGGATTCCAAGGGCAGAAGGGACCATTGTGATCATCTGGTTTGACCTCCTGTATAACACAGGCTATGGAACTTGCTCAAAATAATTCCATTTGAAATAGAACAGATCTTTTTTTTTAATCTGAATATAATTTAAAAATTGCCAGTGATAGAGACTCTACCCTAACCTTTGATAAATTGTCCCAGTGGTTAATTACCCTCACTGTTAAAGATTATATGCCTTATTTCCAGTCTAAATTTGTCTAGCCTCAACTTCCAGTCTGTTCTGCCTTGGGAAAGGTTACATCACCAACAAATGTTCCATCTGCCACTCCTTTTCAACCCATACCTGGAAATCCCAAGACACGAGGTTCTAACTGCCCCACTTGTACCTAATCCATGAAGATAGCTTCAGATTCAGGAGCACCAGAACCAAGGAGATTGTATTCATTGATCTGTCTATATCAGGCACCACATCTTTGGCTCCAGTAGGGAAAAGAAGGCAAAAAGGGTGCCAATACCATTGTTACCAGTGCCGACATCACCAACAGCAACTTTACCACTGACTGCATTGTCTTCAGGACAGAGAGACCTGGCACTGCCTTCTGAGATGGAAAGAGACTCCACCACCAAACGCAAACACAGCAATCAACTGGCATCAAAGCCAGTTTCTTCAGAGAGGACACAAGGACTAGAGAGAAGCCCTTGAAATCCTCAGCATCGATAAGCATAGTGTCATGACATCGGTGAGACCAAGAGACCAGGTGATTGCCCTGGTACTGACATTGATACAGAGAACTGCTCCAGTACTGATCCTGGAACCAGAACCCTTCTTGGTATCAAGACATTCCTTCAAAAAGCCCCCCTCACGACTCCTCTTGGTGTCAGAACAAGCCCAGACACCAGTAGTGATATTGGCACCAGCTCCACAAACATCAGTGCCAGAAACCATATGTATTGGCACTGTAATTTCCAGAGACCTATTTCTCCTCTTCATCACCAGGCCATTCCTTCTCCCCCACCTCAGGCAAGGAACCATTGCCCAAGAGGAAATGACAGTATCCGAAAGAGTACTTGGAAGGTATGTGGTACAGAGCCCCTGTGCAGGACTGGGAATGGATGGGACACCCACAGTTTAGCCAGGACCAGTACAACTTGCTGTACTGGATTTATTGAGGCCCCACCTTCCCATATGTCCCCTTCCCATGACTCAGAAAAGAGGAGATGATCTCGGTCACCATCAGCAATGCTTGCTGAAGCGCCCTCAGTAGTACTGCATGGACCTTCCAAAGATATGGTGGAGTTAATGAAGGAGACACTCCAGCTGCTCTCCCTACCTAAAGAATTCTCCTCATCCCTTGATGAATCAGCCATCATAGCCCCAACACTGGCTGTCAGTGACTTCCAGGCTTTCCTGGAGTTGCTGCCAAGGATAGCGGACACATTGGACATGGAAATGATGGTGCTCCAGGAAGACATATTTGACAGCCTCAGCACCTCCATGCCCACAAGAATTGCCCTCCCAGTCAATGAGGGCATTTTAGACGCAGTGAAGGGTTTGGGGCACATCCCTGCCTCACTTCCTTCTGTCTTGGAAGCGTCTGGAAAAACACTACCAAGTCCCGCCCAGAGGTTTTGATTACTTTTATGCCCATCTGACTCTGGGGTTGCTCATTGTCTCTGCAGTCCAGGAGAGGACTAGATCCAAGCAGAGGACTTCAGAGACAAGGACCTCAAAAAGCTGGACATTTATGGAAGGAAAGCATCTCTCCAGTTCTGCATTACAACCAATCTAGTGCTGTTTACAAAATACAACTTTTGGTATGGGAGAGGGTGGCTTCCTTCCTATCTCAGCTCCAACAGGTGTATAGGGAAGAACTGAGACATGATCAAGGAGGGGCAGATGATAGTCAAGACAGCACTACAAGTGGCAGTGGATGAATCCAATACAGCTGCTTAATCGGTCTCCACAGCAGTCGTAAAGCACCAAGTGTCCTGGGTCCAGGCATCCGGAGTATCAAGGGAAGTCCAGGCTACAATTGAGGACTTACCCTTTGAAGATATGCATTTAAATAGCCCATGAATGGAAGAGACACTGCACTGCCTTAAGGATTCCAGACCAACACTCAGCTCTTTGGACATTTATGCCCCAGTACCATACTGCAAACCCTTCCAGTACCAGCCATCTCAGAAACCAAGAATGTCATCTTTCTTTCATAGCTACCAGCCTGAGTATTCATCCAGAAAGTGATCCCACTATTCATGGATTATTCATGGACCCCACTATTCACCCCTCTTCTCTGTTGCAAATCAATCTCTCTCTCTCCCGGAGGGAGCAGGTTTGAAGAGATGATTGAGAACCATGTCAAAACCACTCTACAGCTCACTTTCAGATATCACTTCTCCACCTTTACTGGACACTTTCCTCCAACAATGGAATCAGGGCCCTTTTTTACATCTTCCCACCAATCCTAGCAATCACCAGCGTGGTTGCCAAACTTAGACAAAATTGGACCTGATTCATCTTGGTAGTTAGCTCCCTACTGGCCAAAATAGTTCTTGCTGGCAGACTTTCTACAACACCAATCTGACTTCCAGACCACCCAGATCTATTGTACAAGAGATAAGTCAAGTACTCCATCTGAACCCAAAGTTGCTGATGCTGAAGGCCTGGATATTGGCTGGCTGATCATCATGGAAAAGGACTGCTCCTTGCATAATCAGGAGATTCTGGCATCAGGCAGGAAACTATCCATAAGGAAAACTTACTCTTCTAAATGGAAAAGGTTCTTGATGTGGGCAGCCCAACATGGCCTGGACCCAATGCAGGTCCCAATACTGAAGATTTTGGTCTACTTGCTGCAATTAAAACATTCTGGAATTTTACTTCAATTAAGATCCATTTGGTGGCAATTTCAGCATATCATCCACCAATTCAGTCTCTTTCAATCTTCTCTCATCTGTTGGTATCCAGATTCCTTAAGTGCCTTATGCATGCTCACTCATTGGTTAGAGATCCTCCATGGGGCTTCAGTGTTGTCCTTCATAGGCTTATGGAGTCCCCCTTTGAGTCCCTTTCCAACATCTATCCAACATCTTGCTCTCCAAAACAGTATTCCTGGTTGCCATCACTTCAGCCAGAAGAGTCAGTGAGATCCAGCAACTCATGGCAGAGCCTCTGTCTACCTGGTTTCATAGAGACAAAGTGGTCCTGAGACCTTATGCAAAATTCCTTCCAATAGTGGTTTTAGAAATGCATTTGAATCGATCAGTGAACTAACTTGTGTTCTTCCCATAGCCATGTTCCAGGCAAGAGGAGAAGAAACTCCATACCTTGGTTTATCCAGGGTTCTTTGAAACTATATTGACAGGCTCAAACCTTTCAGACTGTCCCCACGACTATATGAGACTATACCTGACCACTCTAAAGGGCAAACCATTTCATCCCTAAAATTTCAAAATGTATCACACTGTGCTACCAGATGGCTGATGTTCCTCTCCCACTGACAATTTAGGGACCATTCTACCAGAGCTCAAGTGGCATCGTCAGCATGGTTCTGCAATGTGCCACATTTGTCAAGCATTATGCACTGGACTTATTGCAAAGTTTGGGAGAGCTGTACTCCCATTTGTCTTCGACAGTTGCAGCTGATTCTCCTCATGGCCACCATCCTGAAGAGGCTACTACTTGACAGTCACCTGCAGTGGTGGCTTACACATACCTGAAGAACAAAAAACAGTTACCCTACAGTAAAAGTAATTCCTTGAGATGATGTTAGCAGTGTGAATCCCATGACCTGCCCTCTGCTCCATCCACAATTTCAGTCTTCAGCTAACACAGGCTTCAAATTGCAAGGGAACTGAGAGAGGGTCAGTTCCTGGACCCTTTATCCTCTTCCATGTGAGCACAAGAAGGCACAGGGCACATACATGGTCCTAATGGACATTGCTATTAAAAAAAATCCAATCTCGCACACGTGTGGTACAGCCGTATCTACAGGGGGATCCACGCTGACTACATCTTGAAAATCTTACATCTTACGGTCATTGTAAGGTAAATAACTGTTCTTTCCATTTTTATATTTTTTTCCTTTCAAATCATCCCTCAAGTGTAGAGATTAAAGCTGAGATTTTCAAAAAGTCTAAAGGAATTAATATTATTTATTTGTTTGTTTATAGTATTCTAATGCCTAGAATTCCTAGTAATAGACCAGAATTAGGTGTTCAACTCCCACTGAAAGTCAATGGGGTTGATCTGTGCCTCATACACCAAGGCCCCTTTGAAAATCTCAAGTTAAACTCTATTTCTGTCAGTTTACTTAACTATGTACTATTCTAACTGTTCATTGTATTAACTATTTGGGGTTTTTTAGTTTGTTTCAGATTACAACGGGCAAGATAATTTCTTGCAACGAGTAGGCCAAGATGGTTTAAATAATACAGAAAAAGAATCAACAGCAAACAGTATCTTTCAAACCATTCGGAGTTGTAATCGCAGTTTGGAATCTGAAGAAGTTGAAGACAATTTTAGTGAAGGAGGCAATTCAAGAAAAAACTCTTTGAAGGATAGAAACCGTTACCAGTAGGTTTTACATTGCATAGTTTACTGTGCTATTTTTCTGTGTGTTTCAAGATTTTTCATGTTTAATTTGCTGTTGTCTGAGTCTCAATTATGGTAACAACATGAAACTTTAATATAAGCATCCTTGAATTTTGCCCCTTCCAATTTCAGCTCTTTTCCCAGAGTTACGCTTGATATCAGGATGCTCAGAGGCTTGGAATCTCTCAATAGTTTTATCGTCTATTGTGATGTAATTATTTCCAGGCAAATCACTTTTATTTTGTCTAGAGAGCTTTAGAAACCCACAGTTACATTATGATTTTGATCAGTTGTGCCAGGAATAGCACCATGGCATCTCTGTTATCAAAGCTCAGAACCTTATATCCTGTGGGTTGAAACAGCATTCTGCCCTAGTTAATATAAAGGTTATTTATTATTGTTGGTAAAGCCTGCTACTTTTTAAGGATATGTTCATTTGAGGTTCATAATTACCTCAGGAAGAATCCATGAAAGCTATTAACCAAATTTTCACACTGGATCAGTCCAGTTATTTAGCACTGGTGTTTCTTTTATTATGACACCTGGGAAAGCTCGGTGTTAGCAACCTCAGATTCCCAGTTCCCACTTGTACAGTGAGAGGTCCAGTAGTAGATCAGTATCATACCAGCATACCGTACAGTATTGGTCATGTGGGAATAGTGATAAGTCCAAAGCCTGCTAAATCATTTAATCTTCCAAAGTGTTGTTTTGTTTTCTAGTTGTCTTTCTTATTGAATTTAAAGAGGAAAACATTTTACAGGGGAATGAAATTGGTGTTATGTATCTAGCTTCCAATTTGAGATAAGTCTCCCACAGTGCATTTCTAATTAACCACATCTATATAGCATAGAAACAGCAGAAAAATGCAGTTAGGTGAGATGGTGGTTCTATGTCTATCACAGTCTTTCCCAAGGACAAGTGTATTACTGTTATAAAGAGAGGAACTTTTGTTTTTACTAAGAGCTTTAGTCTAGTCTAATAAATTTAAAATATCACAGTAGCAGATAGTTAACAGGAAGCATGCTCCCTACCTCTGTAGATAAAGAACCACATGATAGAGAGTAAAATACCCACATGTTTAGAGGTATCCAAACTGGTTCAGCCACCTATATATAAAGTCCAGTAAGTGAGCATCTGAGAAGGAACTACCAGCTTCCTGCGTTTATTTCATTTACATGCAATTGTAAATTTCATTTTAAAGAAATAATCTTTGTTTCCTGAAATAATGTTTTCTAATAGAATTACTAACATCTGGCCTTAGTTCCTTCTGAGCACCGAAGCAGCAGCTGATGCCAAGAAAGGCTGTCCTACTTCACTGTCCATTTACATCATCCCTTGATTGCGGAAGAGTGCTGTAGAAAGCCCATAGTCTTTAGAATTTCCTACAACTTAAGTGCTTCCTTCCAGAAATTATTTTCTTAACTAACATCAGACATTTTAAAACTAGTATTTAATTCATAGCTCAGATTTAAAAGAAACTTGGGAAAACAACATTTCACTTATTGAAGCAAAGTAAAATGCTTCTAGTAATGATAAATGGGAAGGTAACTTCTCCTGTAAATGTTTAATCATTGCTTTGGAGTATATGTTTTATATCTATATACATACATGAAATTAAATGAATTCATCCTCCTTTGAGCAGTACCAGTCTGTCCTGTCTGCTTTTTTAAAGAGTTCATCCCTCTGTAGTCAGGCCCTCTTGGCTGCCAGCGGTCAGTGCTTGAAGTCTCCTTTCCCTTCCCACTGTCCTGTTTTCTCCTTCTTGTGCACACTGAGAACTCTGGGAGGGAGGGGAGCTTGCAGCAAAGGAGGATGAGGCAATACTATTTTGCTCTCTTTTTGTGTAGAGGCTGGAAAAGCAGGATTGTTTTAAAATATTGTGCACTGTGGACAGCTTTTCCAGTGAGATGGGAGTAGTATTTTGCACGTAGTATGTGAGGTCATTAACTTATGCTCTTTTGTATATGTTAATATTTGGTTTCTTAGTAAAGTTAAAAAGTATTTTTATTATAGTTATTTATTTAAACTAAAGACTGTTTAGTAGTAGAAATCTTGATTTTTGTAGGGTGATATATGAAACTGTAATATTTTGATGTTTGGGGGAAATATCACATAATTTGCTTCAGTGTCATAGTTCAAAGTGAAAATGAAGATCTTACCTTAATTGATTTTTCCTGAATTACATATAGAACTGAGGCTATGAGTCCATAAAAATAGATAACTTAGCTTGAGCTGAAGAATATAAGGGGCATCTAACAAAGTCAGGGAATATGTTTATCAATATTCCCACTCTTGCCTGTTGATAGGATATTTAGCACTCTGTGATCAGGGCATTGGCTATTCACCAGGAATTTCCTGACATGCCAAGTATATGTCAATGATTCATTTTTATTAGGGCTTTCTCTTTTCAGGGATAAAGCAAGTTGGGTAGGAAGACAGAAAATTGCCAACGCAAGTACAATTATTTGTCATCTCCTTCATATCTCACTCCCCTGACAGAGAGGATAGAGTTATTTTTCTAATTTAAAATGCTTATATATTTCAAATTATTTCAAACTTGTGACACTTAAATATTGTCAAAATCAAGGTAGACCAGAATAAATTGAGATAGAAGCTCCCCCTAATTTTCCTGTGATTTAATGTTTTCATACACAACAGTATATAAGAGTGGGAATCTATAAAATATGGGTGTCATTGGAGAAGGGGAAATTACATGGTCTACTTGTAATTTGATGTCCTTGAAAGTGATATGGCTGTGAGAGTCACATTCACCTATCCATTCCAAAGGAAGAACTAGAATTGCATTTTGATTCGTTAGAAATTTTGATTGTGGGTGGAAAAGTACATAGAAGCTTGCCTATAGTATATGTATCAGGGGGTAGATGAGTTAGTCTGTATCCACAAAAACATCTGAAGAAGTGGGTTTTTTTTACCCACAAAAGCTTATGCCCAAATAAATCTGTTAGTCTTTAAGGTGCCACTGGACTCCTTCTTATATGTACTTTTTCAAGGTTTGTTAATCAACTAACTTACGCCGACGTTCGAAATTTTGCCACATAATCCTTTTAATGATTGATCCCACTTTGGAGAGACAAGCCATATTATATGTGTCTGAATCAACATCTTTAAAGCACAGTAATTTCTCTTTAGAATAAGTGTGAAAATCCACACAGTTTTCTTTTTTATATATTGCATCCCTTGCTATTTCCTTCATAAAACGACAGTCTGTTCTAACATTTCCTTTTATCTGTTTCCTTCATTCCTAATGCATCTCAGTACAACACACGCAAAGAAAGCCTCTGAGTCAAACCGAGTTCTGTAAGTTTGTTCTCAGCACTTCCTAAACTATATTGCTTGTGCTAGCTACTGCCAGAAATTAATTGTGCATTTTTTGTGTGGCTGCTTCAGATGGCACAAACAAGAGTATGCCATCCCTGTCTATCCTGGGCCGCTCTTTGCAAATCCTCTCTGTTGTTAAATCCTGTCAGTATTTTCTAGGATATTTGTAGGGTTGGCTGCTTTTTTCCATTTGAAAAAGTTATTCTTGTGTGGTCATGACAAATACTTTAATGTTTAGATATGGGGTGAGATGCATTGAAGTCAACAGCAATGTATACTAGCTGAGGATCTGTCCTATGGTTGTTCTTTTTTACATTCAATACAGCAGTACATGTGTGTTTCAATTTAGCAGAAGAAGCTCTTGTAGGGAGGAGATTTTGGATAAGTGAATTCTGTTCTCATAAACCATATTTGTTAATTTAGATTTTTCTGCTTCATAACTGCTGTTTCTCAGAACAGTAAAGGTATTCACTATATTTGGATTGGTAGCTACAAACGTTGTGATTGATAATTATATGTTACTTATATAATATTTTACATGTTCAAAATAGAAATATTCACTAATTAATTCTCACAACACTTTTCTGAGCAAGGTATGTGTTGTTGTCGTCACTATTTTATAGATGATAACATTAAGGGTATGTCTATGCTGTGGGGGAGGGGGATGATTCCCATCTCATGTATGCATACTCATGCTAGCTGTCATTGAGTTAGCATGCTAAAAATAGTGATGCAGCCACGGTGGCACGCATAGCAGCGAGTAGTGGCATGGGCTAGTCGTGCTGAGTACAAACCCTCCAGAACCCTATGGTACTTGGAATGGCTTGCCCCCCCTGCCTGTGCCACCCCAGCTTTGCTACTATTTTCAGTGTGCTAGCTTGATGGGAGCTAGTGTAAGTATGTCTGAGTGAGCTGGAAATCACACCTCTAGCTCCTAAATGTAGATGTAGCCTAAGACAGAGAGAGTAAGTAACTTGCTCAAGGCCACAGAATGAATCTCTGAAAAGTAGAAATATAGTAAAGGAATTAGCCTTCAATCCACTAGGCTGTGCTGCCATTGTCCACAAAAGAGATTTGGACATACTGCAACCAAAGCTATTGTATGGATTGGATTTAGAAGCTGGAATCACTTTGTTTTTAGATCCCCTGTGAAAGTGATTCATTACTAAGAACTTTTTAAATGTGCATTTATATTTTTGTATATGTGATGTTTGGGAGGGAAACCTGAAAAAATTGTCATCATACATTTTTTCTCTGTCTCTAATACAGTGATATCAATCCTAACAATATCTGTTAATTAATTAGTTTGTCCAAAATTACAATAGTATAAAGGTACATTCTATATACTATATAATACAATGCTGTCAAAGTCTTTAAGCATAGATATCCTTGTACCTCTAAACAGTATGATGTTAATCTTCTGCTGAATTTAAACTATAATAGAACAGGTTTTAAAGATAGTATTGTAGCTAAACATGCACAGAGTAAATGAAAACATGTGTATCAGATGTTCCACTATGTATACAGTATATATACAAATACTGGAAAACATAAGTGTTGTATCTTACTTCACATACAGGTTTATAATTGGAGATCTCTCAGACTCAGAAAGTGACATATCTGAGCAGTCAAAAGAGTGGGACACAAATACAACTGAAGAGCAGCAAAAGGCATACAATCATGGAATAGAACTCATTCCCTGGTATGTGTTATCAATCAGAGCTGATGTCCATCAGTTCATGCTACAAGGGGCAACTGTCATACATTATGACCAGGAGATGCATCTCTCAGCACGCTGTTTTCTTCAGCTTCAACCTGACAATAGTACTTTGACATGGATAAAACCCACTACAGCTTGTCCTGCAAATACTAAAGTAAAACTCGGTGTGCTAGGTAGCAATGCTGACCTTGGTAAATTTCAGTTTCTTGGCAGTACTGGATTGAATGGACTGGTGGAAGGTTTCTTGGATTTGTTTTCAGCAAAGGCTGTGTACATGGGGCACCCTGGCGTTGATATGCACACTGTGTGTGTTCAAAATAAACTTTGTAGTATGTCCCTTGAAGAGAATGGAGTAACACTACTATATGGACTTCAAACTACTGATAATAAGTTACTGCACTTCGTGGCTCCAAAATATACTGCCAAAATGCTGTATGATGGATTGCTGGAATTAACAAAAGCTGTAAGAAAAATGAGGAAATTCCCTGATCAGAGATTGCAGTGGCTACGGAAACAGTATGTCTGCCTTTATCAGGTAAGTTTCAGAGTAGCAGCCGTGTTAGTCTGTATTCGCAAAAAGAAGAGGAGTACTTGTGGCACCTTAGAGACTAACAAATTTATTTGAGCATAAGCTTTTGTGAGCTACAGCTCACTTCATCAGATGCATTCAGTGGAAAATACAGTGGAGAGATTTATATACATAGAGAACATGAAACAATGGGTGTTACCATACACACTGTAATGAGAGTGATCACTTAAGGTGAGATATTACCAGCAGGAGAGCGGGGGTGGGGGGGAACCTTTTGTAGTGATAATCAAGGTGGGCCATTTCCAGCAGTTGACAAGAACGTCTGAGGAACAGTGGGGGGTGGAATAAGCATGGGGAAATGGTTTTACTTTGTGTAATGACCCATCCACTACCAGTCTCTATTCAAGCCTAAGTTAATTGTATCCAGTTTGCAAATTAATTCCAATTCAGCAGTCTCTCGTTGGAGTCTGTTTTTGAAGTTTTTTTGTTGAAGAATTGCCACTTTTAGGTCTGTAATCGAGTGACCAAAGAGATTGAAGTGTTCTGCAACTGGTTTTTGAATGTTATAATTCTTGACGTTTGATTTGTGTCCATTTATTCTTTTACATAGAGACTGTCCAGTTTGACCAAAGTACATGGCAGAGGGGCATTGCTGGCACATGATGTGTAAAACTAGTGAATCTGGCCTTTGATATTGCATTTAATCAAAGGCCATCATGTGCCAGCAATGCCCCTCTGCCATGTACATTGATCAAACTGGACAGTCTTTACGTAAAAGAATAAATGGGCACAAATCAGACGTCTTCAATCTCTTTGGTCACTCGATTACAGACCTAAAAGTGGCAATTCTTCAACAAAAAAACTTCAAAAACAAACTCCAACGAGAGACTGCTGAATTGGAATTAATTTGCAAACTGGATACAATTAACTTAGGCTTGAATAGAGACTGGGAGTGGATGGGTCATTACACAAAGTAAAACTATTTCCCCATGTTTATTCCACCCCCCACCGTTCCTCAGATGATCTTGTCAACTGCCGGAAATAGCCCACCTTGATTATCACTACAAAAGGTCCCCCCCCCCACTCTCTTGCTGGTAATATCTCACCTTAAGTGATCACTCTCGTTACAGTGTATGGTAACACCCATTGTTTCATGTTCTCTATGTATATAAATCTCCCCATCTCCCCACTGTATTTTCCACTGTATGCATCTGATGAAGTGACCTGTAGGTCACGAAAGCTTATGTTCAAATAAATTTGTTAGTCTCTAAAGTGCCACAAGTACTCCTTTTCTTTTTATCAGGTAAGGTACATTGTAATCATCTAATGTATAAATAAGTGAGAGTTTCTAAGATACCAACAATATGCATAGTCATATCTGTTTTAGACAGGTTGAGATTAAAGATACAAGACCTGATTCTCCACCGTTACATTAATTTTACACCAGCATAACTCCACTGAAGTCAACAGATTGACACTAGTGTAAAACTAGTGAATTCTGGCCTTTGATATTGCATTTAATCAAAGGCTATTTGATACATTAAAATCAAGTATTAAACAGATCTTTTATATTAAGCAGATCTTAATAGATCATAAAATAAAAAGTGAAACTGGTATGCTAATTGAGCCTTTGAAGTTCGCATTTGATTAAACAGGAAGCAATGCCCATAACTACACAGGGGCTCAAATCTTGAGCAGTGGGAGGTGGGATTAAAAAAAAAACAAAACAAAAAGCAAAACGTTTTGCCAATAATAACAACAAAACAAATAGCAGTACTTTTACTATAAGTAAAACTTGCCTTGCTTTTGATGTTCAGTCTTTCACTGCTTAATAGTGGGCATCTTCACTACTATTTCAGAAAATGTTTGAGTCCTTCTGCAATACTGTACCTAGTCCTTTTTTTTGTAGGAGGATGGCAGATTTGAAGGCCCAACTTTGGCTCAGGCTGTTGAACTGTTTGGAGGTAGACGCTGGAGTGCAAGGAACACAAGCACAGGGGCCCTGACCAGAAGCACTGAGAAACCCAGTGTGCAGAGAAACAACACTCTGGGAATAAGCACAGCCAAGAAAAAGAAGAAAGTACTCATGAGGGTAGAATATTTTGTTATGTACTAATCCTGTGATCTAGCCAATTTAAGCTATTTATAATATAGTTTTTGTATAACTAACCATGTATTCGGAACCAGAGAAAAGATCAGTAAATAATAATACAGTTGTTATAACTTTGAAACTGTGTTAATTGCAATGGCAGTTCCCTGGCTTATTATTTATTTGGGAGAGGCTTATTTTTCCTCATACCCAGGGAGGCCCAGGATTTTGGGGGACAGCATGTAGAACAATGGGGTGCAGACTGATTGAGACCTTTATATAGTACCTCCCCTCTGAGCTGTTCCATTAGTTGGAAATCAGCTGAGCACAGGAGTTGCCCAGGCTACAAGTTCTTTTTCCTAGACATACATCCTTTTCACAAGTGGCCAAGAGAGGGATCATGTAGGAACTGGTATGATGGCTCTACGCTACCCAAAGGTTCCTTTAGTCAGGGGGATTCCTCAAGGGGCCAGATGCACCTCCTCTAGGACTGTTTTATGCCATTGGCCTAGCGCAAAGCCAACCAGAGCACTCCAGAAAATCAAGGCCATTGTCTTGTTATTTGTGATGTCACACTGAGGTGACAGCCAAAGTTCCCACACTCCTTTGTGTAACTTTCATGAGACTTAAATGACCTCTTTTCTATCTAGAGTGATGGTGGCAACTATCAGCATTTACAGCAGGCTTCTTTAGTGTTTAATGTAGAATAGCTGATTCATGTCCAGTTTTTGTCATTCACAAAAAGAATATAGGGTAAAATAAATAACATTTTAAAGATGATTATGACAATGTTCACTGTTTCCAGGGTGAAAGTGGAGATGCTACTGATGATGAGATGGCAACTCGTAAGACAAAAAGTTATAAAGAATATCGTAATAGAAGTGGTTCGGATCCTCAAGACATTGATGAACACGAAGAATCAGGTAGATATAATAGTCCAGTAGTTAGATCCCTTTTAGTGCTTTGTTCTGAATAATTTTGATACAGCTAATGATGGGTGAAATGTTACAATGGACAAAAGTTTCAATAGGCTTTATTCTATACAAAAATAATAATAGTTATTTGTTTATTAATAGGAAGTTACAGCTCTGACACACACATCTGTGGTGTGATAGTGTTGTCAGGATGGTATTTTCTGCAAATGCTGTAAACTTTTTACATTAATTTGTACTGTTCTTCTTTGAGTGCTTGCTCATGTCGATTCCATTCTAGGTGTGTGCATGCCCATATGCGCAGTCGTCGGATATTTTTGCCTTAGCGGTATCCATAGGTTTGGCTGTGGCGCCCTCTTGAGTAACGTGCTCATGCATCGGTATATTAGGTGCTGCAGGCCTACACCCTCTCCGTTCCTTCTTACCGCCTGTGATGGCTAGTCGGAGCACCTTTCCCTTGCCTAGCAAGGGTTAGCAGTCCTTTCTCCTCAGACTTCGACCCTTAGAGCCTTGTAAAAAGTTTGTTTACAGTAGTTAGTTAGTAAGTAGTTGTTAAGTACTATAGTTAGAGAGAGAGTGTCCCAGCGGGGACTTCACCCCAGGCAGGGCATGCTCCGGTCTCCAGGTTTTAAGCCCTGCTCTGTCTGCAACAGGCCTATGCCTGTTAGTGACCCCCATAGCAGCTGCCCAAAGTGCTTGAGGAAATCACATGTGAAGGACAAGTGTCACATCTGTAAGAACTTTCATCCCAGAACTCAGAAAGAGCAAGACATCCATTTGAGGGCCCTCCTCATGGAGGCTGTTCTCCGCCTGGCTTCCGAGCCTTTCTGGATGGACTCTACCCCTAGCACTTTGGCCTCGGGGTGTAGCTCACCCCCCGGCACCAGGCTTTGCCTGACACCACTCCCCATTGCCAGTGCCAAGAAGAAGTCAAAGAAATGCAATTCCCCAGCACCAAGCAAGAAGGGCCAAGGGGCATCGGGCAAAGGACCCAGTTCGGGCCACCAGCTCACACCAGAGCCATGTCGGAATTCCTCCCTGATAGAGTACCCTAGCCCCACAAGGGATCCACCACTGACTCCTAGGAGTGGTAGGGGACTCAAACTCGTGACAGGGCCGACGCCTCCCCAGGTTCTCCTGGCACCTAGAGAGCAAAGGCCACTACCAGTGCTGCCAGCACTGTGTGCATCACAGGACACGGCAAGGGTTCCCTACAAGAGCAAGCCAGCCATAAAGACCCCCCCCAAGAGGGCAAGCGAATGCTGCCAGTCTCCGGAGCCAAGACAACGCTTTCCATCTCCACGCCCCAGGTCTCCATCTTCTGCAGGACACCCTAGATTGCTGGCACTGTGATCACAGTCTCTGCCCTCTCAACATGGGTCACCCAGAGGGAGGTATCAGTCACCATATCACCGGCATTAATCATCTTCCTGACAGCTGTCTCCTCTGCACAGATCCCCATTTCTTAGACTGTGGAAGAGTCTGCGATGCGATACTGATCCCCTTGCCCCCGGCACTGATCCAGCTACTCAAGACACCGGGCTTCTGTGGCAATAGTTAGCTGTCAGATTCAAGCTTTGACAGCCGCTCCGTGGTCCCTGGAAGGTGATTCCCCCGGCACAGAAAGGGAATTAATTTCTTCACCGAGGCAACACCGGCATGACTGGGCACGTGAGGCTACATTGACCTCTGCAATGCCATCTTGGCAGCAAGGCCAGTGGCCAGCACAATGGCCCTACTGGAGTTTGTGATGCCAATGCCGCCTTCACTCCATTTTTCAGCCACTGCCTCGGAGCAGCAACCAACAGCACCAGCAGCACCAAGCTCAGTGAGCGAGGTGCACTCAGAGGCTGGGGTAGAGGAGCAAGTGCTCACCCCGAAACCCTCTTCCTCCATGGGGGATAATGCCCCGGGGCCTCCCCAAGTGACCCAGTCATCATTCTCGTCCCCAGATGAGGTGGTAACGGTGCCCTCTCATGCCAGCCCACCAGATGATTTTAAAGAACACCAGGACCTGCTTCGTAGATGGCCACAAACTTCGGCTTGGAGGTGGAGGAGGTGGCTGAACAGGAGGACACTCTGTTTAATGTACTCTCAGCATCTACCCCCGCCCGTATCGCACTACCAGTAAATGATAGGGTCTTAAAAATAGCCAAAGACCTCTGGCAAACTCCATCTCCTATCCCTATCACCTCAAAGAAGGCAGAGAAAAAAAATTTCGTCCCAGCCAAGGGTTTTGAATATTTGTATACCCACCCGCCTCCGGGCTCATTGGTCATCTCTGCAGCCAGCGAGAAGGACAGATGGGGCAAACCAGTTCGACCCCCAGAAATAAGGAGGTCAAGAGGCTGGACCTTTTTGGAAGGAAGGTTGATTCAGCCGCCAGCCTTCAGTTCCGGGGGGGCTAACCACCAGGCTCTCTTGGGGAGGTACAACTTAAACTTATGGAACTTCCTCTGTAAGTTCGAGGAATCCCTGCCCCAGAACTCAGCCCAGGAATTTGGGGCCCTGGTGGAGGAGGGTACGGCAGTGGCTAGGTGTTCCCTCCAGATGGCTGGGACACAGCCAATTCGGTAGCTCGGGTGGTCACATCGGCGGTGGTCATGAGGCACAGCTCCTGGCTTCAGACCGCTGGGCTGTCCTCAGAAATGCAGGCCTTGATCCAAGATCTTCCCTTCGATGGGAATGGTATTTTTGCGGAGCAGACCAACGCGAGGCTACACCGTCTGAAGGACACTTGGGCCACCCTTCACTCGCTCAGTCTGCATATGTTGCAGTTGGCAAGGAAGCCGTTCTGGCCGCTCCCGCCACCAAGGCCTTGGCAACCTCAACAAGGTCCTGCAAGGAGAAGGGATAGAGACATGAATTTTAGTCGTTGCTGCCCTCCTTCCTCCTGCTCACCTGCACAACCCAGCCCAGGAAAGCATGACGGGGACCAGAAGCTCTCATTTTGAGGGTGCACTCGAGAGCGATGCCCCAGTCCACTCTCCGGATCCTCCTCGTTCTTTCCTCAACAGTCTTTGTCCCTACCATTCGGTCTGGTCATGTGTCACCTCGGACCGTTGAGTGCTAGAGATTGTATTTCAGGGCTACATCCTGCAATTTTCACCACCCCCCATCCTTCCCCGTCCCTCTTCAGGGACCCTTCTCACAAGCAACTCCTTGTTCAAGAGGTCGAAAACCTCATGCAGCTGAGGGCAGTGGAAGGGCCCCTCGGGACATGAGATGAAAAGGGTTCTACTACCGATATTTCATAATCCCAAAAGCAAAAGGTGGCCTGGGACCCATTCTGGACCTGCGGAGCCTCAACAAGTCTCTCAGGAAGTTGAAGTTTTGCATGGTCTCCCTGGCTTCCATCATCCCCTCCCTGGATCCAGGATACTGGTACGCTGCCCTCAATCTGAAGGATGCTTATTTCCATATCTCCATCTTCCAAGGTCATAGATGATTCCTCCATTTTATAGTGGGTGGGTACCATTTCCAGTTCATGGCACTGCCTTTGGTCTTTCATCTGCCCCAGGGTATTCACAAAACGTATGATACCAGTGACAACTTACCTGAGGTGTTGAGAAGTTCAGGTCTACCTGTATCTCGATGATTGGTCATCAAGGACAGATCTCGGGAGCAGGTGCAGATGAGTCTCGATCTGGTATGTTCCGTCTGCCGCGACCTGGACCTGTTGATAACAAAAAGAAATAGAACTCAAGGCCGGTGCAATGGATAGAGTTCGTTGGGGCGGTTCTCAACTCCACATGAGCCAGAGCCTTCCTTCCAGAAGCATGTTGTCAGGCCATGTCAGACCTGCTCTCCCTTGTGAAAAACTACCTGCTCACCATTGCTCGCAACTGCCTGCGATTGTTAGGCCACATGGCTGCTTGTATGCATGTGGTCCGGCATGCCTGGCTCCATCTCCACCCACTGCAAGTGTGGTTGGCATTAGTCTACATCCCCAACCGGAATGATCTAGACTGGGTAGTCAGGGTGCCAGTTCATATCTGGTCGTCCCTGGATTGGTGTTTGAGGGAGTTCCCTTTGCGGCCCCAGCCCCATCACTGTCCCTGGTTTCCAATGCCTCAGACCTGGGCTGGGGAGCCCACCTGGGTGAGCTGAGCATGCAAGGCCACTGGTTGTGAAATGATCTGGCCCTCCACATAAATGACAGGGAGCTCAAAGTGGTTCCTCTGGCCTGCCAGGCTTTCCTGCCCCACCTGAAAGGCAAGGTGGTACAGGTCCTGACGGACAATACCGCTGCGATGTCATACATTTCTTTGTGCAGCATGCTATCCATCTTGTATGTTCCACCTGTCACACTCTGCCCGAGGCCAGGAACATGTTAGCAGATCGCCACAGCAGAATCTTCTCATCTCATCACAAGTCATCACTCCATCCAGAGGCGGAATAATCTTCCACTGGTGGGGGAGTCTCTAGGTAGACTTGTTCGTGTCCGTAGGATCGGGAAATGCCATGTGTTCTGCCCAAGCTGGGGAATGGGCAGGGGCTCCCTGTCAGATACCTTTTTGCTCCCATGGTTGGAGGCTCTGATGTATGCCTTTCCACCAGTCCCATTAATCCACAGAGTCCTCATGAAGATTAAACAGGACAGGGTGAAGATGATCCTGATAGCCTCTGTGTGGCCTCGACAGCACTGGTTCGGCACGCTACTGGACCTTTCGGCGGCCACCCTGCTACAGCTGCCTCTCTGGCAGGACCTGCTGTCCCAGAACCATGGCAGTCTTTGGCACCCAAACTTGGCGGTGCTGCACCTGGCAGCATGGCTACCGCATGGTGAAATGCAGAAGAACGGGAATGCTTGGCCCATGTCCAACAGGTCTTGTTAGAAGCAGAAAGCCCTCCACCAGAGGGACCTACCTGGCCAAGTGGAAAAAGTTCACATGCTGGACCTTGGACAGCGGTATCTGGGCCGAGCAGGCCCCCCTGCAGGCAATCCTGGACTATCTTCTGCACCTCAAGCTCTAGGGATTGTCCCTATCATCAATCAAAGTCCACTTGGCCGCTATTTTGGCCTTCCACCTTCCATTCCAAGGCAGGTCAGTCTTTGCTCACGGCGTGATGGTCTGGTTTTTGAAAGGTCTGGAGCGTCTCTACCTGCACATCTGGGATCCTGTTCCTCCCTGGGACCTAAATCTCACGCTGTCGCAGCTCATGGGTCCCCCTTCGAGCCTCTGGCTTCCTGCTCTACTTCTCTCCTGAAAGGTTTCGTTCCTGGTTGCGATAACATTTTCCCACCGGGTCTCTGAGATCAGGGTGCTTACTTTGGAGCTGCTGTATACAGTGTTCTACAAGGACAAGGTCCAGCTGCGGCCGCATCCAGCGTTCCTGCCCAAGGCAGTTTTACAGTTTCATACCGGACAAGACATATACTTACCTGTCTTCTTTCTGAAGCCTCATAAATCAGAAGAAGAGCGCAAATTGCATGCCCTGGACGTCAGGAGGGTGCTTGCCTTCTACATTGTCAGGACTAAGCCGTTTCGCAAGTCAGTGCAGTTATTCGTTGTGGTGGCAGATTGGATGAAGGGTCGCCCAGTGTCCGCTTAGAGGATTTCATCCTGGATCACGGCCTGCATCCATTACTGCTGCGAGGTGGTGAAAGTGCCTTCACCGGCAACTGTGACTGCCAACTCAACTAGGGTGCAGGCTTTGTTGGCGGCCTTCCTGGCCCAGGTGCCGATTCAAAATATCTGCAGGGCTGCTTCCTGGTCACCTATCCACATGTTTACAACTCATTTTGTGCTTACCCAGCAAGCCTGAGACGATGCTGGCTTTGGTAGAACAGTGTTGCAAGCTGCATGACCATGAACTCAGAGCCCACATCCATGGATATGGCTTGTGAGCCATCTAGAATGGAATCAATGTAAGCAAGCACTTGAAGAAGAAAAAATGGTTACCTACCTTTCATAACTGTTGTTCTTCCGATGTGTTGCTCATGTCCATTCCATTACCCACCCTCCTGCCCTTCAGTTGGAGTTGCAGGCAAGAAGGAATTGAGAGGATATAGGGCCGCCAGCACCTAACATACTGATGCATGAGTGCGGCACTCAATAGGGCGCCAAAGACAAATACCCTACGGATACCGCTAAGGCAAAAATCTCCGACGACTGCACCCATGGGTGCTCACACACCTAGAATGGACTGGACAAGAGCAACACATCTCGAAGAACAACAGTTACAAAAAGTAGGTAACGGGTTTTTTTCTGTGATTGCTTTTACAATGAATTTTCAATAATAAATACTATAATCATTAACTTTCTAGTGCTAACAAGACCTAATATTCATAAAATACTGTTCAAGATATGTTTTTAAGTGATACAAGACAAATTTAGAAACTCTTTGGGGTTTTACTCAGTTTAATTCAGTGATAGTATATGAGTGTTGTGTAGAAAAAATACTAGTGATGCAAAATTTTGTTTTCTTTCATAGATCAGAATATTGCGACTGCCTCTAACACTCTGCCATCTAGAAGAGCTCATTCTCTGACTGCATCTGGATCTCCTAGCTTAGCACCCGGGGCATCTGCACCAATCAGACCAGTCTCCTCTCCTGTAATGTCATCTTCAAGCAAGAGTCAGGCTAGGTAGGGACAAAATCAGTACTTTGCTTTTTAAAAATCTAATTATTAACATTATAAGTTATGACTGAAGTGCTCGCCATACATCAGTATGGAGCTTACCTTTTCCAGCTCTTGGATATCCCAGAGATCATCTGCACAGATTTTGGTCACAGATGCTCCATGTGTGTAACGGTCATTAACTGAAGTATTTCAGCTGTGTAAACTGTGTTGCATAGGTGCTTTGCACAAGTTAGTTCAATTTCAAGAAGCATAAACCTGCACTAGGATTTCTGGTGGAAGTTGCTCTGTTTTGCCAGGAAATAACAGGGATATTTTGGGGAACCTTCCCTTTCCCACAGATTTCTCTTCTCTTTTTACTTGCAGTACTTTTCAGTCCTTTATTTACTTTTGACTGTGCAGTGGTAATTCATTATTATTATTTATGATTTATTTTATTATACCATAGGTGTGCATGGCACTTTACCGGCATACAAGATGACAAAGTCCCTGCCGTGGGGACCTTCCAGTCTAAATGAGACAGATAACATAATGAATAGTGTGGGTAGGGACAATAAGGAAGGAGGGAAAGACAACTGTAAACAGCATGAAAAGATCATTGCTGATGGATGGGGGAAGGATAGCTCAGTGGTTTGAGCATTGGCCTGCTAAACCCAGGGTTGTGAGCTCAATCCTTGAGGGGGCCATTTAGGGATCTGGGGCAAAAATTGGGGATTGGTCCTGCTTTGAGCAGGGGGTTGGACTAGATGATCTCCTGAGGTCCCTTCCAGCCCTGATATTCTGTATCTGTAGTGCTAAACTGGCTGCTTTTGCCTTGAAAGTCACTTTCTAAGGCTTTTTTGTTCTCTTTACATACAGTGTGCCGTTCCGCACTCCATCATGCAGGACCAATGGATGTATACATCACAATAAGATTTATTTTTACTATATGGCTTTCATGTTATATTTTTCAAAAAGGCTATAACAAATTTAGTTCACAGTACATTGAAAAAGCATCACAAATTGATGCCACAGCAGTTGCTTCCCAATTTTGAAAATCTATGTTATGTTTCATTTCATTTGCCAAAATAATTGATGTTCCCTATATGTAGAGCACCTGGAACTTTGTAATATTTCAGTGTGCCATTCATTTGGCACAGGCAAGAAAAATCTGTTGTTGACTGTATTGTAGCATTCCACAATTCCATACGCATGCCACAATTCCATACTCATAAATCCTGAGGACCCATAACTCCCACTGATTTTAATGAGAGGTATGGGTACTCAAGTATGTGTTCAACACTTTTCAAGATTTTGGGTGAGATTCTGTGCTGTGCCTCTAAAGCTATGTCTACACAGCAGTGTAAGCCAATGGTTAGCGAGACTCAAGTCAGCTGACCCATGTCAGGGAACCATGGGCTTGAGCATCTATATTGCATTTTAACCCTAAGTTAAGAATTTCCTGACCTATACTCGAATCCAGGGTTCTGGCATTCCCATTGCAGTGCACATATCCGAGTCAAAGTAAACACATCCCAAAGTGCTTGCTGCCACCACCCCACATGTTGACACTCTAGCCCTAAGAACATGATGCACTGTGGGAAAATGCTACTGCCCATCCTGTTTCCTAACTGGCGGTACTATTGATGGGACTCAGATGCGCACAATGAGCGAACGAGTACATCAGTTGCATAACTAGCTCCTTCGGTGGCTGTCTAAGTGGAATGACTGCAGTTTGAGAAGAGTTTATACTGAACTACCATCTGATCTGATTCGAGTTGGCTCTCCGCCTCTAGGCTGAGTCACATTGGTGGGGAAATGCCCATGTGCACCTGTTCTCAGGATAATTAAGACATCAGTGTCCAGGGCTGTCAAACTATTAAAATGAAATTTTGCACTTTAAAATTTTTAAAATGGGATGTTCCATGATGGTGTTTTTGTCTGGGTTTTTTTTTTTTTTGGCTGTTTATTTTGAAGTTTGACATAAAATGTAGGTTTCAGAGGAAGAATACACACACCCAGCTGCCGGCTGCAGAGCAGTGAAGTGAATCCCCAAGGCTTGGGGTGCAGTGTGCTCCAGTGCAGATCCCTTATCTTTGTATAGGGTCAAATGCTGCAGCCCTGGTTTCAGTCCTGGTCCAGATATAAGTCTTATTTCCTTCAGTTGGACTATTCATGTGAATAAGTCAAACAGGATTTGATCCTGTATATTATCTTTATGGGGTTGAGAACTATCTCCAATAGCTCACTCTCCTTGGCTAAAGAAAACCTTGCATTTCTCTGAATAGTATTCTTACTTTACTTTTTGCTGTCCAGTATTCTTATTAGTTGGCCAGAGTGCTTGGGGGAGGGTTTGTTGGGTTGGAGGGTTGGTTCAAATGTACTAAACAGAAATTTAGCATGGATATAAAAGCTTGGTTGTTTTTGTCAAATAAAGTATCAAAGCCACAGTGGTATGGAAAAGTTATGTAACTGAGTCACTCAGCCCCATTTCCTAGTCTTCCCCCTATCTGCTTCATGAGTGCCAAAATTCTGGCTCTGTGGGGACCATGGCAACTATATTTTAAACCCATAGTTATTAAATTGTCAGACACTCCATGTTTCTTCAGCCCTGGCGAGAACATCCTTCTATCCACTTTATTGTATGCTTTTTCTAGGTTTATAAAAGCCCAGAAGTTATCTAGTTCAAGTTAATATTATTATTTATACTACAACACAAACTACAACTACAAACTTGTAATCTCATTAAAAAGAAATATCTAGTTAGTTTGAGAACCTATATTTTCCATAGCGCATGTTGATTGGCATTAATTTTATTACCCTCTTTTAATTTTTATTCATCAAGACCAATATCAGCCATTCCATAATTTTGCCCAGAATTGATGTCAAGGTGACAGGCCTATATTTATCCAGGTAATCCTGTTTACTCTTTTAAAATATTGGAACAATATTAATTTTCTTCCAATCCTCTGGAACTTCCCCAGTGTTCCAAGACTTATTGAAAATCATCAGTTACAGTTCAGAGAACGTCTTGGCCAGCTCTTTAAAAAGTCTTGGATTTAAGTTATCTGGAGCAGCTGAGTAAAAAATATCTAACTTTAGTAGCTGCTGTTCAACATCCTCTTGAGTTGGAATGGAAAGCATTTCATCATCATCATGTGATATCAATACATCATGTAAATTTTTCACAAATACAGAAGAGAAATATTTATAGAACACCTCTGCCTTTTTTAACACTTTTGACCATAGATGTCTCCTTATGTCCTTTTGCTTCTTTTATCAATTTTCTTCAACACCTAACTTCTAATTTGTATTAAGTGCTAGCAACTTCACCTTTTTTCCATTTGTTATATATTGGGGTTTATTATTATTGTATAGCTGTTTTCAAATCCCCTCTGAGCCAGGTTGTTTTTAACCAATGTAGCCTTCTTTATCAATTGTTAGACTCTGGGTTTTAGGCATCTAGTAACATGTTCTTAAACAGTTCTCAATTGTTATTCACATTTTTCTGTTTACATTCTTTCTCACAGCTGATTTGGTTCATAATTGTTTTCAACTTGTGAAATTGGCCTTTTTAAATCACCAGGTATATTATATATATTATTGGTTTTGATTCTGTTTGGACATAAAATGTAATCAAGTCACCATTACTTACACCTAAGCAACCACTTATTTTTAATATTGTGATCATTCCTCAATTCACACTCAAGAGATTCTACTCTGCTTTCCCTTCCCTTAATCCGTGTGGGTGAAGGAGGGAAGCCTGTGATACCTTGTTCTGCCGTGGTACCCAGGCCTGGACATTTCACGAGCTTGATGCACTTAAATCGGGACACAATAAAGTTAGCTGACTACTGTAAGACTTGGCGCCTGCAGCCAAGCATCATAAAAACAGTCTCCAGTTTGTTCCATCTTCATCACGCCAGCACAACCCGAGACTGAATGTTTATCTGAATGGTCAGAAGGTGAAGCATGAAGTAGAACCAGTCTATCTAGGTGTGACCTTAGACCACACACTGAGTTACCGTACCCACCAGAAGAAGACAGCAGCTAAAGTTAAGACGCGCAACAATCTTCTTAGCAAACTGGCAGGTTCATCATGGGGTGCTTGTGCTCCAACTTCGTGGACGTCAGCTCTTGCCACCTCATATTCAGTGGGGTAGTACTGAGCACCTGTTTGGAGTCGATCGTCACACACCAAACTGGTGGATACACAGTTATATGCCACCATGAATATCATCTCCGGCACTCTGTGTCTGACTCCACTCTCATGGCTTCCAGTTCTGAGCAATATTGCTCCTCCTCATATCAGGCAAGTTACTGGAGAAAGTACGCGCCAACTCAAGCCTGCCGCTGCACAATGACCTTTTTAAACCACCAGCTGCATGTTTTCCGTCACGTCGCCTATTATGGTCTCATCTGCCATGCCAGGATATTATGGCGGAAACTCTCTGGTGAGAGGAATGGATATCTGTTATAACCCCCAACCAGTCCCTCGCCACCAACCCCACAATTTGCCCGCCTGGTTTTGACCTGCCCCATCGCCAGTGGTCCCTGTTGAACAGGTTCTAGATCGGGCAAGGTCTCTGTGTAACACCCACAGACCCCCAGTTGTCGGCAGGCAGAATCGAACCGGGGACCTCTGGAGCTTAGTGCATGAGCCTCTATTGCATGAGCTAAAAGCCAACTGCCTGTTAGCTAAGGCTGTAGAGCAAACTCATTAATCTCTCTCTCTAAGTGGTCTCAGTGCCATTAGATGGGACAGAAAACCACACCCAGGAAGTGTGTGGGTTACATCTGCACAGCTAACCAGTATCGCTGGGGCCTTTGTGACAGCCCTTTGTGCAGCTGCGGCGCAACACAGACGATAACGCACATTGTCGATGAATACCTGCTGACTAGGTTCAGTGGTGGCCTAGAAGAACTGCATCATGCCACTGAAGATACCATTGCTTGGCTAGACAACTATGCACACGCTAAATAAATTTGAGGAGGAGGGTGCCCCAAATGGTAATTCTTCCTTACAAGAGATCAAGCCTGAATGAAAAAGTGGGGTAGCCATGGCTTAACTTCTGTGTGCCACTTCTGATATTCCTGGCTGTTCCTTGGGAAGCCCTGGCTGCTTCTGGGGACTAGCTCCATCCCTGTTTCCTCTATTCCATGTGATTGGGGAAATAGAGGGGAGGGCTACAGCCTGTGTCGCCTGCTGGAATCGGCAGGCAGGGGGCCCCCCTACTGAGCACCTCCCTGCCTCACCGATGCACCCAGCTGTTGGAGATGTCCAAATGTGTGACACCTTTATTTTCTGCATATAATCCAGAAAGAATCATTTATTTATTATGCTAGCATTATACCTTAAGGAATTCTGTACATTTCCAGCATGTTTCCCATTTTAATTGTCTTGCTGATAAAATACTAAAAGCAAACTTCCTGTGATCTTCATAAACAGCAGGACATATTTCTTTAGGTTTCATGCTATAGCAATAATAGGATTATTTTGTTAAGTGAAAAAAAAAGAAAACTTGTTGGTTTGTGCCTATTTAAATTAGATTCTTCCATGCATGGAAAGGTTTCAATAGAATTTATTTATTTGCTTTGGCAAAGTTTGCAGTGGTCTTTAAGGGAATGAGTGTATTTCTCCATTGGAAGTACAGGATCAAAGTACAAACTCTGATTTTATCCACTAAGAAGTATTGTTTTTGTTTCCTTCTTTCAAATATTGATAATAAATATATGAAAGAAAGCTTAGAATAGACCTCTAGGGCAATGCTGCCTAATATTTCACAATCAGTGGAAGTTAAATATAAGAAAATAACAGCAATCTCATTTTGTTTCAGTACTTGGAGCAGCAGTAGCTGGCATGGCCGAGTCAAAGGAGGATTGAAGGGGTTTCAGAACTTCATGGTTTCCGATAGTAATATGAGTTTTGTTGAATTTGTAGAGCTTTTCAAGTCTTTCAGGTAAAATCTATTTGATTAATCACATTCATCACATCAAAGTTGGTGAAAATCTATTTTAAGAAAAAAAGCACAAAGTTAACATTCTTCCTGTATCCTAGTGTTCGAAGCCGCAAGGATCTTAAAGACCTCTTTGATGTCTATGCTGTACCCTGCAATCGATCAGGTTCTGATTCTACTCCACTTTATACTAATCTGAAAATTGATGAGAACACCAGTGAACTCCAACCTGATTTAGGTTTGTTAAATTTAATTTCAGCAAGAAAATAACACTTTAGAGAACTGAACTATTTTAATTATTGACATTGTAAAAAAATCCTGTTGAAGTGGGGGGCAGAATCAGGCTTACAATTGACAGTGAGTTGGAACCTTAACTAAAGGGTCACTACCACAGCTCCATAATAACAGTTCATCACATTCCATCCATACACAACTGGTTTAACTAATTTTAAGAAGTTTAACAAATTCAGAAAGTTTTATTTCACATAAGATTTACCAAAAGTGCATTACTCTCTGTGTGTGTGTGTGTGAGAGAGAGAGAGAGCGAGCCAAATCAGCTCTCAATAAAGAAAGAGTTCCACTGATGTAAATAGGAATCTTGCCTGACTAACTCTTGGCTAAGAATTTTAGGATTTGATCCATAATTATTGAAAATTGATTTTTTCCAGTGAATACAATTTTAATTCCTTTGAATAATTCCATGTGGTATGAATAATAGAATAGTACTCGCCTAATTTATCTCCAGGTGATAAAATGAAACTCCTCAAATATTTATGTTCATATTTATTATCTTTTAGATTTATTGACCAGGAATGTATCAGATCTGGGTTTGTTCATTAATAGTAGACAGCAACTATCAGAAAACCAGAGACAGATATCTGATGCCATTGCTGCTGCTAGTATTGTAACTAATGGTACTGGAGTAGAAAGCACATCACTGGGAATATTTGGAGTGGGAATCCAGCAACTCAATGACTTCTTAGTGAATTGCCAAGGTGAACACTGCACCTATGATGAAATCCTCAGTATTATCCAGGTCTGTAATATAAACATTTTGCAATGCATCTATTCATTTTGTAGGGGTTTTTGTTTCCTCCATTTTTTCCCCCTGCACGTGTTCTTTCTCTGTGCAGTCTCCAGAACAGTACCTTCTGTATCACCTATATGAAGGTTTGATTTCCTCCTTTGGAACCACTGCCAATTCTGTTCCCTCAGTTTGCATGAAACTTCTCTAAACACAGTGTACCCAATAGTCCCTTTCCATGAGATCAAAATTGCATTTCTATAATGTGTCTTACCTCCATTGAATGTGGACAAAATGATCCGAGTTGAGTTTTGTGTCCATTGTGTTATAAAAATTGAATAACTAGCTACCATAATGTAAATTTTTATTCCTTTTTATTTTTGTCTAATGCAATCCAAAATTAAGTCCGTACTCTACAGGGTTTAACAAAACTGTCAAAACATTTTGAACAGTTCAAAAGTTAGGCAAGTATGTGCAATATACATTTACAGCAAGGTTAAAAAATCAGGATGTCTAGGGGAACTTCAGAATGATTTTGTGCAAGTTGATGTGTTGTTGAACACTGGTGAGTAAATACAAATAGTTATTTCCTTTTAGATGATCGCACTGAGTATTATATATAAGAATAAGAACATGCATGATTTTAAATAATAATCTAGATCAACATTCTACATTTGTAAGCTCTGCAATATTATTAATTTTATATATTTAGTGACTTTGCTAACTCCTATAACTATTATCAATATAGTGAAGACACTTCTGAATGATATTCAGACTGCATAAATACAGCTTATTAGTTTGATGTACAAATTACATTGTAAAAAATGAATGAAAGCCTTTTACCTAAAGCATGTGATACGTATTTCTTTTGATCAAAATAATATTGTTCTCTTACTGTTTCTTACAGAAATTTGAACCCAGTGTCAATATGTGCCAGCAGGGGCTACTGTCATTTGAAGGATTTGCAAGGTAATTAATCACATATGAAGTTAACATACACGTGATGTTATTTGTGCGCATTTTGCTAAATATTCGTCACAAACTATTATTTCTGCACCTTTAGGTTTTTGATGGATAAAGACAATTTTGCCTCAAAAAATGACGAGTCACAAGAGAATATTGAAGAGTTACAACTACCACTGTCATATTATTACATTGAGTCTTCACACAATACATACCTCACAGGCCATCAGCTTAAAGGAGAATCATCAGTAGAGCTTTACAGCCAGGTATACAGAGTTAGATCGCTGCATAGTTTTCAGCATAAACTTGTTTGTTTAACTAAGAAGTCACAGAAACATGGCCTTTTTGCTTTGAAAACCCAAATGTTCTGAGCCCCTGCTTGTAAAATGTAGGAAAACATGATGTGTGGGAAAGCTGCCTGTGTGCACAGTTGTGTTCAAATGCTTTTACTAAGGCAAAAAATGGGTTTCGTTTGAGATTCATAGCATTTAGACACTAGTCATTTTGACCTAACTTACTAAAATTAGACTTTCCCACAGGAAAGACTGATCTAATATGTTAGTTCATTTAAATGTCAGAAACACCCTTCAGATATTGTACATTGTACTGAAAAGACAAAATTCTAATGAAAACATCACTCCCGACAATATACTTGTAGGAATATTACACTATTTATCTGACCCTGTATCTAATTGGTGACAAACCTAGAAAGACTGATTTCTCTCTATGGGCTTTGGGACTATATTTTTGATATGTGTATTCAACAAATATTACAGAAAACATCAAACTTCCTGTGACTGGGATTTTTATTACTCACCAGGTTAAAGAGAAATCCATTCAAGTGTGACAGGCTGTGCTACTTCAGCCCTTTGTTTGTATGTTTGGAGGTGGGGAGGTGGACTGTGTGTGAGAAAGCCACGAGTAAAGTGGCTGCATAGTGGTGCTGTGGAGTAGGTTTCTATGACAGCCTCACACAGGATGGCAGTGTTGGAGGAGGTAGGGTAGGGATCCATTGTCCGTAACACCCCAAGTGATGTGAAAGAGCTGCAGGCACTCTTTCAGCAGCCCATAGGCTAAAATAATGGTCCATAAGATGAGATGGGAACATTATTGCAGCCCTGTTCCCCTGGGTGGGGTGAGGGTGCCCCCTCCACTGACATAATGTACTTCCATTGTCTAAGGCTTTGAGCAGGATAAGTGAATTTCATCCTAATCATATATGTAATTTACCTGAAGTTATAGATAGATTCCAGAAAGCTTTATTTCCAATAAAAAGTTGTAGCCCAGAAGGCTATCTTGCAGTGGCCCTTCTCCATCTGGAGAAAATATCTGTGTAGATACCCACTTGTTTCTGCAGGCAGGAAGATGTAAATATTTCTCTCCCAGTGTAAGTTTCTGGCCCTTTAAGGGACAGTTTTGGCAGCTGTGACAGGGTGTCTTGCCCTTATGGGCTGGAGAGTCTGGGGCTAGCCAATCCTGATTAGAAGCAAACCTGGGTTGAATCAGGTGATTCCTTATTAAGGGCAGCAGATGGCTACAGCAAAGTGGGGAGCTCAGGGAATGGTAGGAAGAAATGAAGGCAGTCAGGTTTCTGCAGTGATGACCTTGTTACCAGGCGGTTTGGAAGCTAGAGACCTATGATTCCAGCAAAGTAGGGCCTGGAGGTGGCCTGCTAAAGTAGGAAAAGCTATAGGCAGGAAGGCCTGGTAATAGGGTGAATTGGAGTCTGCTGTGAGTGAGCAGGCTCCAGCAGAAAGACCTGGGACATGGGATTTCCCTACTGAGGGTATGTCTAATTTAATTGGGGATTGGTCCTGCTTTGAGCAGGGGGTTGGACTAGATGACCTCCTGAGGTCCCTTCCAACCCTGATATTCTATGATTCTACTCAGCAGAAGAAAAACCACAGCAGTAAGTCTTGGAGCCCTGGTCACCTGAAATACAGTGAGGGAGAAGGGTTTCAGACCCTAGGCTCCAGTCCAAGCCCAAGTATATACACTGTTATTTTTAGCCCCATAACACAAGGCCGAGTGAATTAACCTGGGCTCTGAGACTTGCTGCTGTGGTTTTTTGTTCTGTTTTGTTTTTTGGTTTGGTTTCTGTGTAGTTGTAGCCTGAGACTACAGGCAGGAAAAGCCTGGGAGTGACCTGATAAGAGTAAAACTGATGCACTGTTTTCAGACTTGGAGTTTTATCTTGGAGATTTATTTATGTGAATAAACTCAAACCCCTTTAGAAGGGTGATGAATGAACAAGAAAGCCCTATGTAGAGTTTGTTTAAGAAGACTTTTGAGGGAGAAATTGTTAGCAGAGCATCACAGAGGTACCCTGGGCTAGGGTTGCCAACTTTCTAATTTCAGAAAACCGAACACTCTTGCCCCACTCTTCCCTGAGGCCTCACTCCAGCCCCCCTCCTCTGTCACTTGCTCTCCTGCCCCCTTGCTCATTTTCACCAGGCTGGGGCAAGGGATTGAGTGCAGGAGGGGGTGAGGGCTATAGGGTGGGGCTGGGGATGAGGGGTTTGGGGTGCAGGAGGGGGCTCCAGACAGGGGCCAAGGGGTTTGGAGTGTGGGATGGGGTTGCCAAATCCAGGATTGAGTTCAGGTGCAGGAGGGGGTGTGGGGTGCAGGCTCTAGGAGGGAGTTTGGGTGTGGGAGGGTGCTCCAAGCTGTGGCAGGGGGTTGGGGCGCAGGAGGAGGTTTGGGGTGCAGGCTCTGGGCAACTCTGCCTGGTGTGGTTTGTGGGGGCTCCGGCAGGTGCTTTTGTCAGGCTGCCCCTTAAATAGCAGACGCACCAGCGCTGCACTGGAATTTCGTGGATCTCAGAGTCTGCTCTATCTGCCATGAATCCTGGACACATGGCTCGGCCAGCTCACTAAGGACAAAAGTGCTGACCGGAGCCGCCAGGGTCCCTTTTCGACTTGGCATTCTGGTTGAAAACCAGATGCCTGGCATCCTACCTGGGGCACGAGGCACCGCATGGGAGACAGCTGACCCCGCTCACCAACCAAATTCCCATTCTCTCTGCCTCCAGGAGCAGTTCTGGTAGCTTCTGAAATTTCTTTCTATTTCTAATGGGAACCTTTCTTTTAAATGCTTGCTTTCTAATATGCTTCATTTTCCTGCTCTGTGTGTGTGTGTGAGATCCAACTGTTTGGGATAGTAGCTTCCATGATTTTCTTTCACACTGCAGTAAAGTAGCTTTCATGAGCAGCAACTTCCCTCAGCTGCCATTTAGCACTGCAACCCCTTTTCTCTCTTTGTTTTTGTACAGTTGCTGATCACATGGGATCTATTATTCGTTTGTATTACAGGTTCTCTTACAAGGCTGTAGGAGTGTGGAATTAGACTGCTGGGATGGTGATGATGGGATGCCTATCATTTATCATGGACATACCCTCACTACTAAGATCCCTTTTAAGGTATATTGACAATTTCTTGCAGAAAATAGAAATTAATCAAGAAAGAAGTTTAATAACTTGTTCACTTGTATGATGATACCAGTTTAATGAAGCAACAATTATCCTTCTAGAAGAAAACAAGTCACTAAGGATTTGTGTACACTGCAATTAGACACCCGTGGCTGGCCTGTGCCAGCTGATGTGGGCTTGTGGGGCTCATGCTAAAGGGGCTGTTTAACTGCAGTGCAGACATTCAGGTTTGGGCTACAGCCTGGGCTCTGGGACCCTCCCACCTCACAGGGTCCTAGGGCCTAGGCCTCAGCATGTGGATATGTCTACACTGCACATGGGAGCGAGTGTTCTTCCCAACATGGGTAGACAGACACATGCTAGCATTGCTCAAGCTAGCACACTACAAATAGAAGAGTAGCTGGGGTAGCACGGGCAGAAGCTTGGGTTAGCCACCTGAGTACAAACATGTCTGGAGCCCTCAGGTACATACTTGGATGACTGGGCCAAGCTGAGGCCCATGCAGCCTCAGCTACACTGCTATTTTTACAGCGTGTTGGTTCAAGCAGAGCTAGTGTGTGTCTGTCTGCCTGTGCTGGAAAGCACAGTATTAGATGCAGTGCAGACAACCCTAAATGAATTAGCAACAGACAATATAAAGTCATATTGTATTTTGAATCATGGAAGCAATACTCGGAAATAATCAACTATAAATATTTTATGCTTTTCAAATTAGAGAATTCTAACTCTTGTAATTTACACTTTGATTCTTATAGGATGTAGTTGAAGCTATTGATCGCAGTGCCTTTCTCACATCTGATATGCCAATCATCATATCTATAGAGAACCACTGTTCATTGCCTCAGCAACGCAAGATGGCTGAAATTTTTAAGGTTAGTCATAGTTTATTATGTCATTCAAAGAGCATGTCCAGGGATTTTGTTTTTCATGATATCTCACGTATTCTCAATATTTCAGAATGTATTTGGAGATAAGCTGGTAACTAAGTTTTTATTTGAGAGTGACTTCTCTGATGATCCAATGCTCCCTTCACCGGACCAACTGAGAAGAAAAGTGCTGCTGAAAAACAAAAAACTCAAAGCCCATCAAACTCCAGTGGATATTTTAAAACAAAAGGTAAATTATTTCCCTAACAAACATTCTGATATTTAAGTTGTGGTTTGGAAAAAAGCAATAGTCATTAAAGTTTGTCCAATTTAACATGGACAAAAGAACCAGTCTAATGCACACTGGGAAACTCACTGTGGATTATATATCAACATAATATAAATATATAAAATAAAAATATAAATACAAAAATACTTGGTTTATTTTTGTGATTTTTAAGTTTTAATTATGATATATGGTAAACACAACATAGTATATTTGGTAAAAGTAATATAGTCTTACCAAACACTTCACTAATAAATGTTTGCTCAGAAAGGGGGAGAGGCCACCCCAAGGTTTTTTTGTGTGTGCATTTTGTTCTGTAATACTTTGTTGTCTTTTTGGATTTAGCAAAGTTGTGCTGTATTTTTACCATATTCAAGCCAGGTACTTTCTTGTTAAACAAATTTTTTTTTCACTTGCTACCAATTGATTTTATTTTATGGCAGAATGTTACCATTTTTATTAAACTGTATTTCCATATGATAGGTAGAAAATTTTCCTGAAATATTTAGTATTTCTTAATATTTATGTATATATCCTTTTGTGACATCTCCTCCATCTTTTAATTTTTGCAATGAATGAAATACTCTTACAGAGGTTGAAGTCTTCTCTTTACAAGGAAATCGAGTCCCATGCAATGCAACAATGCAAGCTTCCTTTACATTACAGTCCCTTTTATTTTAATCTATACAGCCTCAGCCCTTCCTTCATTTTTTCCACAGGGACTGTACAATAACTGTTCCAGTTACCAAGGGCTTGGAATTGATGCCAAACATCCCATGTAGTGAAATACATTATTTAGTGGGAACTGGACTTTTTCAAAAGTGTGATGTTATCTATAGATCCACAATGACTCCCTTTTCACTTTGGGTAAATGTAAGCCCAATAAATAATAATAAAAAAAGATGGACAATTATGTATGATTCACATTCAGATCTTTCTTGAAATTCTAGTTTATTGACAACTCCTGTAATCCAGGTTTCAATGTTACACGGATTTTCAGAGATTACAGGAGGAGATTTAAACACATTTATGGAATCATTTAACAGTAAATAAACTATTTTGGGAGATGGGGGGGAATTTTGGGGTTTCTGTACACAGGAAAGTTTCACCAGTCAAACTACTATAGTTAAACCACTAACTCCCCGTATGTTTTTTGGATTTTTTTGTTTTGTCTAAACAGCTTCCAAAGTGCCATAAACTAAACCAGAAAAAGGGTACTCTTATATTGGACTAACAGTGGGCACATGGGGATTTATACCTGTGTAACTATATATGTTTAAATTCACTCTTCACTTTTTACTGCTATAACTTTCCCATGTGGACAAGCCCTTAGAATAGCTATTTTTCCTCTTATAAAAACAGGACACTGAACAGATACATATGAATAAGAATATTATAAATAGAACTTTTTTGCTGTTTTAATATTTGAGTGCTTTAAAAATTATTTTAATGCTGTAGGCTCACCAACTCGCATACATGCAAGCCCAGGCCAGTAATGGTGGCAATGCTGGTAACCCCACCACTAATAATGAAGAGGAGGAGGATGAAGAGGATGAATATGACTATGACTATGAATCTCTCTCTGATGGTAAAGAAGTATAGTTATTACAATGCTGTACTTTGAGAATTCTTGGTTCATAAAGTTTCTCCATACTTATGACTGACTTTAACTGTTTAAATTTGCTTCAGTTAGAATAGATCAAACAAGATGTATTGAGACATTTGCATGAGACAATTAGGTGGTTAGTGTATAATCTAGTATCACTTATAATGAATGATAACTTATATTCATTCTAAATTACATCAAAATAATAGTGTATATAAATGAAGTACAAAGTACTGTATCTTATATAAACCCTGTTTTCTTTTACGGTTTTAACACCTCAGAGTTCATGCATTTTTCATATTAATTCCTTTTCCCTAAGGGCTGAAGAGTGGCCTGGGTTGTGCAGTGGTATAAGGAGGCATAAGGCATTGTCTTACCATCTTGCCATACACTTCATAGATCGCAACACAGGAAGGGAAGCAGGCTTTGCAGAGCCACTACAACCTGTGGCCTACACAAATGGGTAGGGAGTGGGCAGACCCTTGGCTCCATCTCCCCAGAGGTCCTGATAGCATAGATGTACCTGGGTGTCTGGTGGCCTACGTTGCACTGGGTATAGACCTGGCAAAGTTTTCTCCCTCACTAGAACAGTGGGAGATTTTGGAGATTTTGACTCTATTCTTTCTGGACTGCTCATGGGGCAGGGCCACATCAGAGGCCCTTGTTCAAGTCAGATCTCATAGTTACAATGTAGATGTGTTTGCAAGCATGCCATTGCTGTCATTAATAAGTTTAACTAGTAATTTTTGTGCTAAGAGTTCAATCATGTTGCCAACATTCAAACAGTTTTTCAGGGACAGTATTCAGAACAGGTGCAGAACATCCTTCTATGAGCGCAGCATATACACTTGTAGTCTGGGGCCTGGACATGTCTGGACATGTTCCTGAAGTCAGTGAAGTTACACTAGGAATGAATTGGCCCAAGACATTCAAAAGTGATGTTGGTTTCATAATTGATAACTGTCAGAAAATGTGTTATGTCAAGATACATCACAACTGGTAGCCAAATTCATACCACCCAGAGACATGGCAAAAGAATAAAATAGTTCATTTATTAAAACCTAAGACCAGATAGTGCCTGGCCTTTACACAGGTGACCAAGTTTATGAAAGGCACAAAGCTCAGCACTTCCTTTAGTGCCAGACTTGTGTTCAAGTGGCACAGCGAAAACTTTCACAAATGAAATTTATTTTATTGTTTCTCTGTTGGTGATGATGAAATTAACAAAATAAAATTTAATAAGGAGACTTAATGACTGCTTCTGATTTTCCTAAGATAAATATGAAAATGGCTCAGATTCTGGTGCCTGCTCCAGCTGCTTTGTGCTGTTCCAGCAGCACAAGATAGCTGGAAAGACTGCTTAATTGTCTACCTGAAAAATTCTCCACTGTGTAGAAGAATCTTCAGGTGGCATAGATGAAAATATGCTGTTCGAGTGCAGATGTTTCTTACATATTGGCCAGAAAGAAATTGCAAGTTGCCCACTATAAGTTGTACTTGAAACATGCTCCAGTAGGAGAAGACTGGAAAAGTCTGTGCACAGTGCAGTACAAAAAGTAACCTGTGGCATGCTTTACTGCTTTAATATAATGGTTACACTATTTGTTTGTTTTAACTATTATAATATTTGGCAGAACTAATCTAAATAATAATCATCTGAAAACTTTAGAAGATTTCAGTTTTATGCTGTAGTTTTGCATAATGCTCATAGTTTTAAAATTGACACTTAATTTTCATTTTTTCTGGCTGTATTTCTTAATTTCCTTTACTCTTATCCCCTTTCTGACTCTGTTTTCCTGTAGTTGATGTCCTTAATGCTTCTCCCGCTCCTAACAGCCAGGAAGGTAAAAGCCATTTGGTTGAGCATTTTAACTGCATGAATTTCAGCACTGTGTCTCCAACTTGTTAAAAGTCTGTAGTGTAAATATATGGTACCTCCTTTGTATTAATTGAAAATGCATTCAAATGGTTTCATTAAGCCTTATTTACTGGTCAGGTATCATTGGAAAAACATTGGTTATTCATAAAGATATTGTGGTCCAAAATTACACACACACACACATGCTGTATAAAGAGCCAAAATAAACAAAAAATGCTCCCCGTTGTAACAGTTTTTCCATTCTTATAAATCACTCTAATTTGGGGGGACAATCAGGGTAAGTCTCTAGCATGTACATGAGGCATGCTCCTTAATGGGGAAGAATGCCTCAAACATATAGGCAGTGTGAAGTGGGGGCAGCATGAGAATCGAAGTCTGAAATGTGAAGATACCTTTTAAAATTACTGATTACTGACTAAACTATATTAACTGATAAACTTCTGCAATTCTTGAATATTCAAGAATATCGCCTCTTAAATACTTTCGGTGGCAAGCCTTTGTTTCTTTGTTTCTTGATTTGCCAAAGAGGATGTGGAAATATTTAACTCGTATTATTAAACGATTTTCTGGTTTAATATCTACTGAACAAAAAAGACAGTGTAGAAGGTTTCATAGAAGAGCAACGTCCTAACAAACAATATTACCAATGAAGGAGAAATGCTTTAACCAATAAACAAGTTATTTTTGCCAGTTGGTTATTCAGACATGTAACTAGGTGCTTTACCCAAAACAACTTGTTGAAATAAAATTTGCAGTTAATTCTTGGCCTGCATATTGTTTATCTAAAATTAATTAATTTCTAGATAACATTCTGGAAGACCGACCTGAGACTAAATCATCCAGTGATAAACTGCAATTTGAATATAATGAAGAAACTGCCAAGAGAATAAAGAAGACTGATTGCATTACTTACAATAATAAAGGAAAGGTAGTACTTTTTTTTCCTCTCCCCCAAACCTTTTGACATGGATCCAGCTTCAAAAGGATTTGATTTGCTCAGGTAACTGAATCATCACATGGCAAATGCACTTTAATGACAAATATCTGGAAGCGGGGAACCATCCTAGGGAAGATAAGGTAAATGCAACAAGCATCTGGATCAAGAAAAGGATTCAGAGGTTATTGTGGACACAAAATGGAGCTCATTAGACCAGTATGCAACAGCAATAAAAACAGGAAAAGAAATTTGTAGTCTGTGAGCCAATGCCTACTGAAGTCAATGGAAGTCTTTCCACTGGCTTTCATGGGCATCGGATCAAGTCCCTAACCTTACTAGCAGAGAAAAATAGTATAAAACAAAATAATTAACTTTAATGGAAGGTGGTTGTTAAATTCCATCTGGATAATCTACACAGTCTTGGTTGGTTGTGCTGTAGGTGGGAATATATTCATTAACTCATTAGTGTGTGGTGGCAAAGTGAGCTAATAAAGAACTCTAAAATATTTAAAAGATTGCTAAAGTTGATAAAAGGCAAGGGTTTCAAAAACATAATCTAAACAGTGGTGGCCCAGTTCTGCTGTCGGTGAGGCTGTCCCCCGCTACATCCCTGCCCACTTGAGGAGACAGCCATGCTGCAGCACCCCAGAGGAAGAGTGGAGTCGGGAAGCATATTGTGACTCAATCACAGTGGTTCCTTGGTTGGCTCCTGGCCAACACTGTTATTATGAGCCTGACTAAGAGGTTACTCTCAGTCCATATCTAGCAAAGAAGTACAGTGTCCATTCACAATTATAGTAATTCACTCTTGTTTCAAATTCTGTTGATGCAGTTTAAGCTTCCCTGCCCTTGCTTTTTATAAAAGACTGTCCATCTCACTCTCAAAATTACGCAAGTCTTGATTTTCTATGATTATGCTCCATATGTATAGTGCTATAACTGATGTTTGTGAAAGTAAGTTGAGTTTTTATATAAAAAGCAAACATTGTTTATAAATACCATATGGTTTTGCAGAGTACTTAACTGCAGCTTATAAAGTTTGCTTTATCTTCATGATTATCGTAATTCCATAGAACACACGCTGTTTATCAGATTTGAGGATTACTTTTTTTCCAAACCCAAGCAATTTACCAGATATTATTGTACTTCACTGTGAACTGATTTTTGACACACACTCCTCATGATATATTGAAAATGCTGGGCTCATCAGAACATTTTTTCCAGGCTCGGGTGCACTGTATACTGACTCAGTCTTTACTGTTTCCATTTAGTTCAATGGGAGTTCTGTGCACAGAACAAAGACAAAATATGGCCCACTGTCCACAATTCATTTAAGAAAGCCAATAAATTTATCAGTATAATTATTTAAAATTATAGTTTTCGTAGTAGAGTTTAAAAGAAAAATCTCTTTTAGACTTTTTCCTGAAAGATATATCTTATACTGTTTTAAATCAAGATAATATACATTTATTTAGAACAGATCTGTGCAATCTTTTTTTATTAATGATCCAGGTTTATGTGAGTTTTGTGTTGTTAATCAGTAATAATTAGAGCATAACGTATTTTATACGTATATTAATATTATGAGATACATAGAGAAATCCACACTCAGTATATTCCTGGAGGGTATTGAATATCGTGAATTTCTATGTGCATCTTTCTCTTTCAATCTGAAGTGAAAACAACACCAATAAATAACTTTTTTTTCAAAAATTGATTTTAAAAAATAAACACTGGGAAACAAACCTGACAAAATTACGAAACTCCCTTTAAATGGTATTCCATTATCTTGAAATCAAGTCAGTTTAAAAAAAAAAGTTCACCAGTATATTGGCTGCATATAAACTGGCTCAACATAAGAAATGTCAATTTCTGTATTAATTTGTCACATTAACAATCCAACTTCTGCCATTTTGCTTGCTTATGTGACAATACTCTTTATAAAACAGTGCCTCAGATAGGTGATTAAAACTGAGTCTCTCTACCTCAAATGCGTACTAGAAGAAAAATGGTGCTGATGCGTGTATATTTGCATTGTCTTCTTTTACAGGCAAAAAGGAACTTTATTCATAAGATTACATTTATTTTTTTCTCACTATTTCAGCTGGTTCATCCCATTTTTAACAGCCCCTTTTGACCCATTTTCTTTTTGTGCAATTTTGCTAAAATGTCCAGACATCTCTCCTGGCGTATTCATTGGCCATGACAGCTGTATTCTATCCCGCAGTTTCCCACCCTTCTTGTTTTCCATCAAGAGCATGTGAAAAAATATCTTCACTAGTATTTCAAACAAAAAAACCAAAAATATATGAATTTGAAATAATTTTTCACTCATTTAAAGAAGACCTTCTATGGAATTTTCTTCCAGCTGTTGTACTGTCTTTCTCTCTGAGGTTTTTTCCAATTGTGACAAAGTCTCACAGCTGTTGGTTGATATTCAGATTGTAACAGGTAGTGTAGGTCTCCCCTTAATGATTATGCATACATTCTGCCATTGTTAATGTGAGCTATTCCCATGCACTCAGGGAGTCTCACCTCCCAGATTATCGCTGGAAGTTCAACTTGAACATCAACCTTCCCCTCCTCTCAACTATGCACGTATTATGTTGTACAACTTTTTCAGTTAACTGGCAAAATTGCATTTTGCTTTTAGTAAAATTTACAAAAAGTAAAATGAGAAACTGGTTTTTAAAGACATTCTGTTCATAAAGACAAAATGAATCACACACTTCTACTTTACACTGAGTGAAGCTCCCTACCTATGGATAAACATGTATGAAAAGGGGTTAAAAATAAAGTGTAGGATGGAAAGCCTCCCTTCAGGGTCTTGACTGGTGATTCCTTAATATATAAAGGAATACTGTTACTCTTTGTGTCATGTTGAGCAGGGATTGCAAGGCTGCTGCACTCCACAAGTGTGATCAGAGGTTACATGGGGGCACAAGTAAGGTAAAATACTAGTGGCCATATTTTCAAGAGCTGAGCTCCCATTTATTTAGTCACTTAAATAAATGACCAGATAAATGACCAGGTCATTATTGGGTGTTGCATTCTTTGGGATATCTGGTCTAGGTATGAACCCTCATACTGACTGGTAGTAAGTCTCAAGCCCTCCGTATACTTGGTTTCCTGCTTTCAAGAGTGCAGGATAAAAAAAATAGTGTGGAGAATGATGTGGAGGGTGTGGGTGGAGAATGAGCCTATTTGAGGAGACATTAGTTTAAGTGTCGTCGTCAGAATCATAGAAATGTAGTGCTGGAAGGGATCTTGAGAAGTTATCAAGTCCAGCCCCCAGTGCTAAGGTAGGACCATCCCTGATAGGTGTTTCTCTAACCTTTTCTTAAAGACCTCCAAAGGTAGAGACTCTACAACCTCCACTGGAAGCCTATTCCAGAGCTTAACAACCCTTATAGTTAGAAAGTTATTCCTAATATCTAACCTAAATCTCCCTTGCTACATATTAATTCTTCTTGGCCTATCTTCATTGGACATGGAGAACAATTTATCACAGTGCTCTTTATAAAAGCCTTTAACATATTTGAAGACTGTTATCAGGCCCCCCTCAGTTTTCTTTTCTCAAGACTACATATGCCCATTTTTAAAATCTTTCCTCATAAGTCAGGTTTTCTAAACTCTTTGTCATTTTTGTTGCTCTTCTCTGAACTCTCTCCAATTTGTCCCCATCTTTCCTGAAGTCTGGCACCCAGAATTGAACACCATACTCCAGCTTAGGCCTCACCAGTGCCGAGTAGAGTGGGATAATTACCTCCCATGTGTTACAGAGGATGCTGCTGTTAATATAACCCAGAATATTAGCCTTTTTCGCAACTGCATCACAGTGACTCCTATTCAGTTTTTGATCCAGTATAACCCCCACGTCCTTTTCATTTGAGCAGCACCAGCAGCTAGCCATTTATCCCCCATTTTGTAGTTGTGTATTTGGTATTTCCTTCCTAAGTGTAGTACTTTGCATTTGTCTTCATTGAATATATTCTTGTTGAATGAAAATGAGCTGCTTAGGTCTCACTCGTGCTATGAGTCAGAAGTAACTTAGGGCCGGATTTTTAAAGTTATCTAGGTGTATTTTGAGTACTACTGCAATACAAATAGTACTAATATATGGTAACGAATGGGAAAAATAGATGCATGCATAAATCCATTATGTGAGGATATAGAACCATGTGTGCTGAATGTGATAAAACCACATCAAGTGTGTATATGAGGTATGCTAGAATACTTTCATTTTCAAACCTTTTGTATTATACATCACTTGAATTGTCACTTAGGTTTATGACATGGAACTGGGTGAAGAATTTTATCTTCCACAAAATAAGAAGGAAAGTAGACAGATAGCACCAGAGCTCTCAGATCTTGTCATCTATTGTCAAGCTGTGAAATTCCCTGGTAAGTATGCTTATTGCTTTACATTTTCTAAATCTTTGGAACATTACAGTGATATAATTGTAACTGCTTATACTGCGGAATTCAAACTGTAGTATGTGGGGAATATGCCTTTTTGTGGTTATGGATTCTGTACGATGACGATTCTATGTGCTGCGTTTGTCATGGAGGGAAAAAGTACTCCAACCCTTAAACTGTAGTGAACTGGCTAATTCCTATCTGACTGACAGCTAAGAACAAGCTGTTTTGTAAGGCTTTTCATTAGAATTTCACCTAAGGAGCTGCTGTGCCAGGTCTGAAGAAGAGTTTGCAGCCTCTGGGAGGCGGAGCAGGTCAGGACTCTTTAAGAATAGGTTCCAAGTTAGCTTGTCACACCACTGCCAGAAGCCTTCCCTCTCACCTGCACCCCTGACATTATTATCTACATCCCTCATTACCCAGTAATTGGGCTAGACACCAGCTGGGGAATGGGGAGAGAGAGAGAGAGAGAGAGGTCATATTGGGGATGAGGCTAAAAGGGAAACTGGCATGGAACCAGGAGTAGAGAACATCTGGAGAGCAGACCAGGTAAAGTGGATGGGTGGCAGGAAGAAAATGGCCCATGATAGGCATGTAGCAGTGATCCCGCAGGAGGACAGAGAGGTAGGAGGGGTTTCATTCTGTAGTGGTGGAGAGATAGGGATTGGAAAACAGTAGGAGGTGGAGGAACTGAAATTGAGATTACTTGTCTTCATTTGCTCAGAACAGAACACTGAGGATGAGCATATTTTGGCTAATATACTGTACATTCTGTATACTAACTCATTTTTTAAATTGCTAATTTAGTGTTCATAATTGATAGTTTGTTGAAATGAGAATTCAGCTTCTTTAATAGAACAGTTCTCTAGAGAAATATTGGCAACTATTGCACATTAGGATTTAATACAAAAAGAAATATAATCTGATATTAATTTACACAAAGTCAAGGTAAGCAAATTGAAAAATTAGAGAGAAACATTTCTCTAATCTTAGTTTTATGAATGTTAGGTGTAACTTGTAACAATGGCAAGTTAAAAAATAAGATTTGTGATTTTTAATTTAGCTGTCCCCTTAATATAATCTACAGTGAAATAATTCCAGTTGTCTTTCAAGTCAAACATTATTTTCTTCTGAGCAAAGAGTAGTATTTTCCATCTTTCATACAGTTTCAATTACTCAAAACAGTTTAATACACACATTTCTGACTTTCTAAAATGTTCCTAAAATTCAATTAGAAAATAAATACTCACTTGCCATAATTAAATTTCTCCTTTGTTTTAATTCAAAACGTAATTAGGACAAATAAAAAAATCAGTTCCTTTCACAGGGAGGACACTTTATAGGCATAGCTAGAACCCATAAAGCCTGCTTTCCCAAGTTAACGTTTATATGCCCCCCCCCCCTTTGGGGAAAAATCCTGCCCTTCTCTTTGTGGACATAGAGTCCCTGACCTCAGTGCAACTGATGTGATTCCACTGTGCAGCAAGGGGACAGGAAGCTGGAAACACTTCACAGGCCCCAGCCAATAGACAATATTGAGGTTGGAGCAGTAGAAAAACGAGGACAAGGCTGGTGGATCCATAATTATGTGGATGTACTGACCAGTTTCTTCTGGAGAGGGGAAAGGATGCAAAAGTTGGGAGGGGGTGGGGGTAATGTAATCCTGAAGTAGCAGGAGTGGCTGCAAGGTGGCTTTGCTGTTCCTGTATAGTCTAAAGAGAAGATTTCTTTCCTCTGGCCCCTTTTACTTGTTTTGTGTTTTGCACTTATGATTTGGCTCTTTCTGAGGAAGCCAATCTTAGATCATAAGGCCAGAAGGGACCACTGTTATCATCTCTTGTCTGACCTCCTGTATAACACAGGCCAGAGGATTTCCTTGAATTATTTCTTGTTAAAACGAGAGTTTATCTTTTAGAAAAAAGTCCAATTTTGATAATAGCATTTTCAGTGATGGAGAATCCACAACAACCCTAGGAAATTGTTCCAACCCTTAGGTAATTTTGGTTAATTAAACTCTCTGTTAAAAAATTGCAACTTCTTTCTAGTCTGAACTTGTTAAGCGTCAGCTTCCAGCCATGTTGTTCCTTTGTCTGATAGGCTGAAGAGCCCTCTATTATCAAGTTTCTGTTCTGTAGGTATTTCTAAATTGTGATCTAGTCATCCCTTAACCTTCTGTTCATTAAACTACATAGATTGAGCTCCTTGAGTCTTTCACTATAAGGCATGTTTTTAATTCTTTAATCATTTTTGTAGCTCTTCCCAATCCCCCTCCAATTTATCAACATCATTCTTGAATTGTGGACACCAGAACATATGATCAAGTGAAAGCTAAGGGAATTACTCCAGATGTGAATGTGAATAACTAGGCTAACACTTGAACGCTGCCTGATGCAGTGACCCGGTCAACAACCTGTACTCCCAAGAAATAGATAGTAACTATGGTTTGGGAGCAATAAGCTCTGATGACCAGAACAATATTCCAGTATTGGTTACATCAGAGCCAAATAGAGCAGTAATATAACCTCCCTACTTTTACTTGATATTCCCCTGTTTATACATCCTAAAACAAACATGTTTTCTTCCTTCCCCTTGATAAAAATGTTAAACAGCATAGGGCCAAGAATTGATTCCTGTGGGATCCCTCTGGAAATGTTACCAGTTGATGATCATTCGCCAATTACAATTCCATTTTGAGACCTATCAGTTAGTCAGTTTTTATTCCATTTAATGTGTGCCATGTTGAACTTGTATTGATCTAGTTTCTTAATCAAAATGTTTGTGTGGTGTCTTACAGAAGTCTAAGTATATTACATCAGCACTGTTACCTTTATCAAACCAATTTGTAATCTCATCAGAAAAAGAGATTGTGACTTTGATAACATATATTGTCCATAAGCCCATGTCGATTGGCACTTATTATAGTACCCTCCTCTAATTCATGAAAGCATTTTATCCATTCTGATTGCTTATGGTGTGGAGAACGAGAATGATGTCTGTATTATGTCTATGAATATTATGAATGTTACCTCATTTTACCTGCTCGTTTTACCTGTCCGATTACATGGAGTTGAATTAAAAGGGGTGGTTAGGAAAAGCCAGGAAACAAACCGCTGTCACAGCTAAGACATCTTTGGATAAACAACTTCCAGGGGGCGATGGCTGAGCTACAAAATGATGAAGATGCTCTTCCTAGGTGCCAGCCGAATGTTACGCTGCTGTTTTGCCAAGGTCAGAGTTTAAGATCAAAAGAACAATGCTCCACTGAAAAATCCCTGCCTAGAGAGAAAGGGAGAATGACTTGTTTGCAGCTGCTAAGGGAGAGACTCTGCAAGAGGGACTGAAATAGGCAGAGCATGCAGCAGGGCTTTGTGGGATGTGTCGGAGGCAGTTGGGCTGACTTATGCTTTGAGAGAGGTGATGAACTCTAGACAGGACCCAGGCAGGCAGAACTTTTGTGGTTTTAACCTTTTCCTCTGTTTGTTATGAAACTCTCTGTGAATGGACATTATGTCCCTTTGGAAGGAGCTGTGCTGAGTCACCTTAATCAGCCAGTGGTCAAAGGCTCCCAGAGAGACAGCTGTGTCTGTCATCTTAGCAAAGTTGGAATCAGGGAGTTGCATTCAGGGATCCAGTCTAGGAGTGATAAAGCCATGGAGTTCCACCAGGAGAGAGGGAAAGGTAGAGAAACCTGTCACCTGAGGGGTGCACTCGAAAGGTCCTATAACTGTGACAGTAGAGTGGGAATAAGGAGTGTTGTTGACCATTGATCCAATCCAAAGAGTGCCATTGTGGGAAGAGTGCAGCAAGTAGAGGCCCTGTCACTTGGAAAAGGTGCCTAAAGGAGAGACTGGGGGACAGATCACAGATGCAGTTTGCCCCTGAACCATCACATGTGGCTAGGGCTCAACTTACCCTAATGTTTTGCTTTGCCCTCCAATAATTAGGTAACAGGTTAGTCTGTTTCCTCAGTGACTGTCTCCACAACAAGGGCTTGAAACATAAGACTTGACTGCCACAAGTTTTGCTCCTGTGAGACCTTACTTAATCCTCCAATGTGGAAAGGACCCAACACCAGAAAAAATTAATGCACCCAGTGGGCCCAGTTCTAGGGTCCAGGTGACATCCACTTTGTACCACCTTTTATGCTCTTGGCCATGGGCTGGGCTGGCCTCAGGCGCAACTTAGAGCAGCTTTAGCACTGCTCTAGTTTTCTCCTGGCTACAGATGGCCACCAAAGGACCATTCAGGACATCAGGACATGCTCTGGTCATGCCCTGTGTGTCAGGGACTCAGAAGAAGAGGTGGTATAGGGCTGGCTATGCAGCCTCTACACAACCTGGAAATTAACCAAGTAACAAGTAACCCCAGTTTTACAGATACTTTGTGCTGCTGGAGTAGTGCTAATGTGCTATATCAAGGTCCAGGATCTGGCCAAATACATATTGAAAAGGCCAGAAGTCTGCTGTGAGTTATCAGTTGCTCCATGTTCTTCCTAAATCATCTGAAGTTTTATTTTGCAGCTGATTATTATTCTAATATAGGTAGCTATGTTTAACACAGATAATTCTCCCAGTTGTACTAGCCAATGCACAGGATATTAGAGTTGAAGTACTTATTTTTATAGCATCTTCATTTTACAAAAATATCTGTTTCCTTCATTTTGTCTCTTGGTTAATAGTGGGTAGAACTGGACAAAACTAGAGATTTCCAGTTTGTGGGAAATTTTTGATATTTTGAAATCTCCTGCAAATTGGACATCTTAAAAATAAAAAAATGGAAACACCAAAGCATGGTGTTTCCTAAACAAGGCATGATCCCTGGGACTGCTGCAGCTGCTAAGTGAAACTGACATTCTTGTCAGTTTCATTGCTTCCAGTGAACAGCTGTTGGAGTCTGTCTCATGGTCTGTGACTCCTGGGCAGCCCCAACCTGAACTGTCCCAGGCCAGGGGACCCAGGACTTCTAGACTTGGGGGCCAAGTGGCTCCCCATGCAGCCCAATTCCCAAGCAGGCAGCACAGGGAGCCAGCTGGCCTGGAAATCTGAAAACCCTGGGCACTTCCAGGATTTCCTGACTCAAACTGAGGTTCTCATGTTTCCCAGTCTCCCTGCTGCGGAGCTGGGAGCCAAACAGTGGAACTCAGATTCCCAGCTCTGTCACGAAGGCTGGAAGCCCTGGCCTGGCGGGGCTGCCCCAGAGCTATGGACCTTGGAAGCCATGAGTGGCTCCATTGAAATGATGTGCTTAACTTCATTCAGTATGTGCAAAAGCATTTGAAGGATTGAGACCTCATTGCTAAACTGCAATAGGTTGAGTTCAGAGGAGCAGAATCCAACTTCTACTAAGCTTCAAATTAGTAGTTAAAATATTAATTTTCAGTGTAAATTCAGTATTTTCTTCTATTGTAACTTAAGTTTTCAATTTACATTTCTTTGTGCAATAATTTTTTTTCAAATTTTAATAAAAAATTAAGAAAAATGTAAGTTACAGGTATGTCGTGGAGTTCCAATAGCATTCTTCATCTGGCTTTCAGTGTTGAACTGATGTCAAAAGAGCTCCTTGATGTATTTTTACTTTGTATTTCACTTAGATCTGACCAAAACCCACTGAAATCAATGGAAAGGCATTTAAATCAGTGGAAATGGAATCCATTGATTTCAGTGGAGTTTAGATCATGTCCTTAATGATTGTTTTGTTTTGAATATATGTATATAGAATAATAATATTTATTATAGTGCTTTTCATCTGAGTATCTCAAAACGGGTCATAATCATTAAGGGATTAAAAGATTTTCCACACTTACAAATATTTTCCATGGTTGAAATATGAGTTATAAATAGTAGTTTTAATATAATATAAGATGGACTCGAAAAGACTCATGGGTCAACTAGTATTTTACCCTACGATTCTTTGGGATTGTCCTTACATCAAATTTAGTCCTTTTTGTCAGGTTCATTTGAACACATAGTCAGTGTCCTTGCCTACAGTGTGTCAGTACCATGATATGGTATACTTGTATGTTTTGATTTACCGGAAAAACAGGTTAGATCTCTGATGGGTCGCATTATTTTTTAGGTCTGAGTTTATTGTGACTGTTCATTGTAGAATTTGTTTTGAAAGTCATTGGGGCTATTCTGTAATACAAGACTTAAATCACTTCCTGTTCTCCAGCCAAAAATAAATCTCAGGCAACAGTTATGTCACAAAGATTTTTTTTTTCCTGTGTTGCATTGTATATCATCTTCTTGATGATTGTAAATATAGTTAGACTCAGTTACTGGGAATCATATGCTAGTTGTCCTGTGTGCTACTTTAGTATTAGTGCCTCAAAGAATAAAGTGAAAAATGATGGAAAATGTCATGCCCTCTTGGTCATGTTTTTTGGCTTATTTATTTTTCTTTTATGGGAACAGGCCTGTCAACGCTAAACCCATCTGGCTCTAGCAGAGGAAAGGAAAGAAAAAGCAGGAAGTCCATTTTTGGCAACAATCCTGGCAGACTAAGCCCTGGGGAGCCAGCAACACTTGCCAAAGCATCTGGAAAAGGTAAAGTCAGGATCTTCTTTCACCAATCACGTGGAATGACTCTGTAGTCCAACACATACACCAGATCAAGATGTTAAAGATCAAACAATTTACTGTGTGCATGCTGCTCTTGAATTTTTGAATCACTTTTCATTAATAATGCAGCTATTACAATAACTTCTTTATAAAGAATCAACTGTAGGGTATAGAATGTTAGTATAGGATTAATTTTCTGGAGGTATAAAGTTAGTCAGTTAAAAATTACTGATGAGAATGATTGATTCACAACTAAAATATTTGTATCTTATAGCTTGAACATGTACCTTAGGATCAAGTTTATATATTAAAAGGTACGGGAGGAGATTTTCACAGGTGCAAACGACAGTTAAACAGCTGACTGCCATTTTATGTCTTGAAAAGCTTCCCCATAGTCTTTAGGCAAAATCCTGCACTTAGACTTGGTGCAAACTTCAGTGGGGCTGCAAGGGATATAAATCAGCAAAGAATTTGGTCCTCCATCTTTTACTGCAGGTTGTATAGTAAAGTTTGAAAGTGACATAGTAGTCTTAAAGAAATTTTATATTCTTTCCATTTAAACAATCTCTATATTCCAAGCAGCGTACTAGCAATATTATAAAGGTTTCCAGCAATGAATTAAGAGTCAAGACTCATTTCAAACTGTTAAGATAGTCTCACACATTAAATACCACATTAAATATGTACTCATTTAATTCAAGGAAATGATATTCAAATACTTATTTATGGAAATACCTTTTAATACATGCCTAGTTACAGTATCAGTATTTAACCATTATGTAGTCTCTCACTAATTGCTCTTACTGCACATGAAGAAAGAAAAGTGATATCTATGTGAACAGTGTGGTTTCTAGAGATCATTTATTTTTACCCCATCCAAAATACATAAATATACTTCACAGGAAAAAACTGATGCTTGAGGTCTGAGGATCTGCAGCTATAATTTGAGATTAATGTTTATTTTCCAGGTCCTTTTGAGGGTGCCCGGCAAACCTGGGAAGAACTTTGTTCTCCTCCTTTCAACCATACAACTTCTCTCAGTGCTATCATAAGGACACCTAAATGTTATCATATCTCTTCACTGAATGAGAATGCTGCCAAACGTCTGTGCAGACGATATTCTCAGAAACTGATTGAGCATACCACATGTCAGCTATTGAGAACATATCCTGCTGCCACACGCATTGACTCTTCAAACCCCCATCCCCTTATATTCTGGCTCCATGGAATACAGCTAGTGGCAGTTAACTATCAAACTGATGGTACGGGTAGAATAATTCCTCTAGTAATATATATTTATGTACATTTTAATCATCAAATAAGTGCTTCTTTAATTATGAAACTGTATTTACCATAATATTCCTTTATCTTACCATCGTCTGTATTTGTGGATTTATTAAACAGATGTTGGATTATTTGGCAAAGATACTGTACTTGAAAAAGTTTTGAGTAAATATATACCTGGGTGGTAACTCATAGAGAATAGGGACCAGATTGTATCCATTAGCACAGCCTGAATAAGAGGTGTTGCATAAGGGCACCACCCCAGAAATAGTCCTGGGAGAAATTGTGACTCTAACAAGCACAATTCATCCCGTGCTCCCCTTTTGTTCCCAGGGAGGTAATTTATGCCAGCTCTTGAAAGGGTGCATCTTCCTTCCCAACACATGCCCAACCAACCAACCTACCTTCCTCACCCACTTGCTTGCCGCAGAGAACATCATACCCTGCACTGTACTCAGGAGGGAGACAGATGATTTGGATAAAATTCCACGTGGTCATTTGAGACCTGGGGGGGGGGGGGTTACCTGCATTTACTTCCTTTTGCAACCATGTTAAGGCTAAAAGCAATCTAGCCTATGTGAATTACTGCTTCCAGAATACTGGAATTCTGTGCCTAATTTGGTAGGTCTTCTGCCTCACTGTTGACGTGGAAGTGCCTAGAGCACTGCACCCACAGATACCATAATTGGCTGGAATCCAGCACTTTTACAGTGCTGTAGCCACAATATCATTTATAGTAACTTTTTAAGTATACAAAGACACTAAATTCCCTTATCCTAGAAATGACTCCTCTGGAACAAAGTCTGAGTACTGATGCAGTGTTGGTTACAATCTTTGGGCTATATTCTATCCCTACTTATGCTCCCTTACCTTTTGGGTTTTCATAAAAAGTTGCTCCATTCAGCTGATTTCAAATTACACAATCCTTTTTTTTTTTTTTTTTCATCCTAGATTTTGGGGAAAATCTCAGGAAACTTGCTAGGTATTGTTAGTGGGTATGGCCAAGTCCAAAATAGAACAAAAACTAGAAAATGGGTGAAACTGGAAAATCCTTATTTTTTAAAGTATAAACTATTTGGGCAACTTGGATATGTAAGTTAAAGCTGTCCCAAGAAATTTAATATTAGTTTTATACTGTCAATTCAGTTTTAACAGTAATCTTTAAAAAACCCACATTTTGCTGTCTTTCTATTGAATTTTCACTATTTTTCAGTTGTGACTGCTTTACTTTTGCAGATCTCCCTCTGCATCTTAATGCAGCAATGTTTGAGGCGAATGGTGGCTGTGGGTGTGTTTTGAAACCCCCTGTTCTGTGGGACAAGAACTGTCCAATGTACCAGCAATTTTCTCCATTAGACCGAGATCTGTATAATATAGAGCCAGCTATATATTCTTTAACAGTAAGTACATTTTAAGGGAATGCTATATATTTAAAATATTAATATTTAATATTAAAAGCTAAATATTCAAACTGGATGTCATATAACTTCAGCCCTAAAAGGATCCCATCAACCACACTTCTATATTAATATATTCTATAATAATTAGAACATAAGAACGGCCATACTGGGTCAGACCAAAGGTCCATCTAGCCCAGTATCCTGTCTTCTGACAGTGGCCAATGCCAGGTGCCCCAGAGGGAATGAACAGAACAGGTAATCATCAAGTGATCCATCCCCTGTCGCCCATTCCCAGCTTCTGGCAAACAGAGGCTAGGGACATCATCCCTTCTCACCCTGGCTAATAGCCATTGATGGACCTATGCTCCATGAACTAATCTAGTTCTTTTTTGAACCCTGTTATAGGCTTGGCCTTCACAACATCCTCTGGTACAGAGTTCCACAAATTTGCCGTGCGTTGTGTGAAAAAACACTTCCTTTCATTTGTTTTAAACCTGCTGCCTATTAATTTCATTTGATGAGCCCCTAGTTCTTGTGTTATGAGAAGGAGTAAATAATACTTCCTTATTTACTTTCTCCATACCAGTCATGATTTTATAGATGTCAATCATATCCCCCCTTAGTCATCACTTTTCCAAGTTGAAAAGTCTCAGTCTTCTTATCTCTCCACAGCCGTTCCATACCCGTAATCATTTTTGTTGCCCTTTTCTGAACCTTTTCCAATTCCAATACACCTCTACCCCAATATAACGTAGTCCTCGGGAGCCAAAAAATCGTACCGCGTTATAGGTGAAACTGCGTTATATCGAACTTGCTATGCCTCCCCAAACAGCCTGGCCCTGCACCCTATCCAACCTCGACCTACTTCCTGCCCCCTGACTGACCCCTCAGAACCCTCGACCCATCCAAACCCCCCCCTGTCCCCTGACCGCCTTCCAAGACCCTCTGCCCCTTATCCACCCCCCCTAGCCCGGCCCCCTTAACACACCACTCAGAGTAGCGTGTCAGAGCCAGACACGCTGCCGCCATAGGTGCCAACTCCAGGGCTGGAGCACCCAGGTTACTTGCTGCGGCCCTCCCCCAGCCCCAGCTCACCTCTGCTCCACTTCCTCCCCTGAGCGCGCTGCCACTCCACTTCTCCCCCCTCCCTCCCAGGTTTGCGCAAGCCTGGCAGGGAGAGGGGAGGAGGGGAAATGCTTTACCACGTTATATCCGAATTCGTGCTATGTCGGATCGTGTTATATCGGGGTAGAGCTATATATGTTTTTTTGAGACGGGGCGACCACATCTGCACATACGGATTTATATAGAGGCAATATGATATTTTCTGTCTTATTATCTATCCCTTTCTTAATGATTCCCAACAATCAGTTTCTTTTTTGACTGCCGCTGCACACTGAGTGGATGTTTTCAGAGAACTGTCCACAATGACTCCAAGATCTCTTTCTTGAGTGGTAACAGCTAATTTAGACCCCATCATTTTATATGTATAGTTGGGATTATGTTTTCCAATGTGCATTTCTTTGCATTTATTAACCTTGAATTTCACCTGCCATTTTGTTGCCCGTCACCCAGTTTTATGAGATCCTATTGTAGCTCTTTGCAGTGTGCCTCGGACTTAACTATCCTGAGTAGTTTTGTATCATCTGAAAATGTTGCCACCTCACTGTTTACCCCTTTTTTCCAGATCATTTATGAATATGTTGAATAGGACTGGTACCAGTACAAACCCTTGGGGGACACCATTATTTATGTCTCTCCATTCTGAAAACTGACGATTTAGTCCTACACTTTGTTTCCTATCCTTTAACTAGTTACAGATCCATGAGAGGACCTTTCCTCTTATCCCATGACACCTTATCTGGGGACCTTGTCAAAGGCTCTCTGAAAATCTAAGTACACTATATCCACTGGATCCCCCTTGTCCACATGCTTGTTTACCCCCTCGAAGAATTCTAGTAGATTGGTGAGGCATGATTTCCTTTTACAAAAACCATGTTGACCCTTCACCAACAAATTATGTTCATCTGTGTGTCTGACAGTTTTTTACTTTACTATAGTTTCAAACAGTTTGCCCAGTACTGAAGAAAGGCTTACAGGCCTGTAATTGCTGGGATCACCTCTGGAGCCCTTTTTAAAAATTGGCATCACGTTAGCTATCCTCCAGTCATTTGGTACAGAATAATGACTTGTAATAACTAAGATCAGTATAACTAAAAGCAGTTACTGGGGGGGGGGGGGGGGAATTCTCTAGTTTGTTTATTTGTGCATTGACAGCACTATGCTTATAGTGTTTTTCACTGTTTCCCCTTGTTGACATGAGTGCTTACCCCTAAGGTGCCCCTACGTACCTGTGAATAAATTGAACAACTGTCATGTCAAGCTTGAACAAAATAGAAGTATTGCAAATGTTAGGCCTCAAACTTCCGTATTCCGCAAAATGCAAGCCTTGCAAAAATAAAGCTTACGCTTGTGACTTGTGGTCAGGAAACGAGGCAACCAGATAGCGATTTATGCTGACTCATATATACTTATCAATACAAAATTACCCACATTCAAAATCTAATTGGCTACAGAAAATAAATAGGCCTTAAAATTTAATATGCATCAATTATACAATTAGGGCAACCACATAAACAATGTGGCCCACCCTGATTGGTTGGTCTGTTCTAAAACACAGCCGTTAGACCAGATAAAAAGGCGAAGGCACGGGAGTGTGTGTGTGTCTCATCGGTTGTACCTGATCCACACCCCCTGAACCGAAGGGACGTGCACTTCTCGACTGTCTGTACCTGGCCAGTGTGGAAAATGGCCGACTGCAGGGTATGTCAATGGAGTAAAGAAGTCTGGTCGCTCGAGCCAAATTTATCATAGTCGTATCGATACCATAGTGTAAAATCAATAGTAGATGGCTGATGCATAATAGCTTTGCATGTGTTACTGCTTCTCTTTTACGTAGTCCTAGCAAAAGCATGTAGAGCTGTCGTTCATCAGCTTTATGTTACCTTTAAAAACACCAGGAATATAGGGCTGTTGAACAATAGTTTTACCTATGCTTGTCTTTGGGGCTTTTATTATAACCTGCCAGGACCAGCATATGTAGAGTCACTGTTCAGGAACTCTCAAATGGTCCACAATATTACTTTTACTTGCACTTGTCTTCAGTGTAATCTGCCTTTTGTACCGAGACATGGCAATGCATGGGACTGCACCTCTCACACCCCTCGGGTGGCCATCTTCTCGGCTCTGATGACCAGTGTCATCTCTGGACTCTCTCACTGGGTCTTCTTTGCCTCGGCCCTTTGCCCAAGTCACACAGCAGTTCAGCTCCCTTTCTGGGGTTCAGTCCCCTTCTAGGGTTCAGCTGAAAAACATTTTTTTTCACACCACCCGAGCTTAATTCTAAACAAAAGGTCCTTTGCCCCTTCTGGGCTCCTCCCCCCATCAGGATACTGACTGACTGCTGGGAATCCAAATACGACTTAAACTACCCTTCTGCTTGTATCTCATTCCCTGGTATTCACAGACCCTAGATTGGGGGTTCCTCTCCACTCTAGGGCCCCACCATAGGAAGTGGCCCTGCTCCTGTAGCTATGCTTTCTGGCCACAGACAATCCCAAATACTGGACCTTCTTTGAGGCCCTTCTGAGGGACAGGGAACTCTCCCTAGCTTCTCTCTCCTGGGTCCCTCCCCATCAGCTGAACTCCCTCAGCTCCTTATTCAGCCTAGCTCAGCCTCCCAGGGGTCTCTGATAATCGTGCTTCTTGCAGCTTCCCAGTCCCAGCCAGCTCCCTTTTCAACCAGTCCTTACTCAGCCAGCTCTGTTACGCTTTTGGAACAGCAACCCCAGGGCAATTATTGAATCATAGAAATGTAGGGCTGAAAGGGGCATTGAAATCAGCAAGTCCAGCCCCCAGTGCTGAGGCAGGACCAAGTAAACCTGGATCATCCCTGACAGGTGTTTGTCCAACCTGTTCTTAAAAACCTCCAATGAGGAGGATTCCATAGTCTCCCTTGGAAGCTTGTTCCAAAACTTAACTACTCTTATAGTTAGTAAGTTTTTCCTAATATCTAACCTAAATCTCCCTTGCTGTAGATTAAGCCTGTTGTTTCTTGTCCTACCTTCAGTGGACATGGAGAACAATTGATCACAGTCCTCTTTGTAACAACCCTTAACACATTTGAAGACTGTGATCACGTCACCCCCTCAGTCTTCTTTCCCCAAGACTAAACATGCCCAGGTTTTTAACTTTCCGCATAGGTCAAGTTTTCTAAACCTTTTATCATTTTAGTTGCTCTTCTCTGAACTATTTCCAATTTTTCCACATCTTTCTTGAAGTGTGATGCCCAGAACTAGATACAGTAATACAGCTGAGGCCTCACCAGTGCCCAGGAAAGAGGGATAATCGCCTCCTCTGTATTACACTCCTGTTAACAGACCCCAGAATATTAGCCTTTTTCACAACTGCATCACATTAGTGACTGCTATTCAGTTTGTGATCCACTAAAACACCCAGATCCTTGTCAGCAGTGCTACTGCCTAGCGAGTTATTCCCCATTTTGGTGTTATGCTTTTGATTTTTCCTTCCTAAGTAAGATACTTTGTACTTGTCGTTATTGAATGTCATCTTGTCTAATTCAGATCAGTTCTTCAATTTGTCAATATCTTTCTGAATTACAATCTTGACCTCCAAAGTGCTTCCAACCCCTGCCAGTTTGGTGTCATCTGCAAATTTTATAAGCATCCTCTTCACTTCATTAACCAAGTCATTAATGAAAATATTGAATAGTACCAGGCCCAGGACTGACCCCTGGAGGACCCCACTAAATACACCCTCTCAGTTTGACAGTGAACCATTGGTAACTACTCTGAATACAGTCTTTCAACCGGCTGTGCACCCATCTTATAATAATAATTTCATCTAGACCACATTTCCCTAGTTTGCTTATGAGACTGTCATGTGGGACTGTGTCAAAAGCCTTACTAAAATCAAGATAT